GTAAATATTTTGTAAATTTGTTCATGTAAATACTCTATGCTGTTTCTCTGTTTACTTTCGGTATATCTATGACTGTATACTGTTTGCTTGTATTGCCTTTTTTATTAACCCCTCCCCCCATCTCCCACTTCATGTCCCCCCCCCCCCTCCTATGTGCCCTTCTGGGTTTCTTCTTTGGCCCCCTGTATCTCCAACTACATATTGTTTGTAATCTCTGTCTACAATGTATCTGAACTAGTCCTTTTCTTTGTTTCTAGTTATTTTTCTGTATATGTGTTTGTCTGCAATAAAAAGTAAAATATATATATATATATATATATATTTTTTTTTTTTATCGCGCGATAAAAAAAATTACGCCGTTAATATTGATTTGCGTTAACGCGTTAATAACGCGATATTTTGGACAGCACTAATATTTACCAAACAAACTGCTTCTCAACCATTTGGTAAATAGTCATATAATTTAAAAACAATTGTAAAAAATAGAACAAAATTCATCATTTATGTTGTTATTGCTCCTAGATCTTAGAAAATTCAATAGAGGAAAAAATACATTGCTTTCTTCAAGGAGTGAATGTTTTTTATTTATGTTTTATTATTGTATTTATTTGGTATTTTTGTTTGTCTCATAACATATTAAACAAAAAGGAGAAAACAAAAATATACCAATTATCCCAAACCCTCCCTCCCATCCCCCCTCGACCCACCCCCTCCCTCACACACTCCATATACACACATATACACACACATCATTTGATCCAAAATAAATAAATCTACAACAAAAATTATATATTTCAGATACGCTCTCTTTATTCAAGGCTAGGTTTAAAACAGTCCTCTTTAGTTTAGCATATGGCTAGGAAGGTAAGACTCAGAGAAGGCTAAACTCCTCAGAGTGTCAGTCAAGCTGCATAGGGAGTCAGTTTGCTGGGAGAAGTATGGTAACTTGAGCACTATCCTCTCCTCCTTCCTACTTTATCTGTTTAGCATTTTTAGGATTTTGACTGTAGTTTGTTCATTGCTATTCACCCGTTGTCCCATTGTCTGTTTCATGGTACGATGACAGGATCCCTGAGCCTGGCCTCCTCCATCTACACCTGCGGACTGCCCCGCCCGACCCGACTCTGACCTGTGTTGGTGATTTCAATGGTTTTGTTAAGTCCTCTGAGATGACTTCTGTTGTGACCTAGGGCTATACAAGAATACATTGTAAATGTAAATTGTGTATTGTATATATAAAAAAAAAAAGGAGTGAATGTTAAAGGGTTAAGATAAGATACGATTAACCTTTATTGGTCTCTCAGTGGAAATGTCATGGTCAAAGTTGCACGTTACAGCGGAATAGAAGGAGAAACAAGAGCGTTCCGGTTTTGCACGCATCAAACAGGATCTATTATTGAAGATAATAAAATAAATAAGATAATACCATCATAAACTCTGAAGCTATAATGTCACTTGGTTCAAAGATAAGTCCCTAGTGGAGTATACACTGTCATCAGCAGCATCAGGAGGTATTTACAGATGTGTATATTGTACCTCAGCAGCAGAGAACAGGACCAGATAAACAAGCAGGTAAAGAGGCCGGTGAAACACAACAACAGATCAATGGAATATGTAATGTATTTTGTATTTATTTGTTTATTTAGACGGGACATTCATGAGCAGCAGGAGTAGTAAATACACCAGATTCTAGATATGTAGCTGATTTCCATTTGCACTCCCACACACGCCTCTTGTGCATGTTTTTAGTGGTGTAAACCGGAGTCCCCAGAGGAAACCTACACAGACACAGGGAGAAGATGCAGAAAGGTCTTGGAGGTGGAATTGAACCCAGGACCTTCTCTCGGGTAAGATCCCTCCCCAGCTGCAGAAGTCCTGACCAGGCCGAGCATCGACATCTGGAGGTGGGTCTGAGGTGGGCGCTTCACTGCAGCCGACAGAGGCCCCAGTGGCAGAGAAGGATGGGTCAAATGCAGAGGACAATTTCTAATGTGAGGTTGACTGAAGAGTAAAAAATGGGGCGTTGATATTTCAGAGCAACGTTGTTTTAACCCAGATAAAGTATTTTCAACATTATGGAAAGTAAAAATGCTCTATCAGTGGAGTGCACACTGCAAAACGTGTCTTAAATGATCTTGTTTTAAAGAGATACAAAAAATAATGCAAGAGTTCTTAAAAACGACTAAATGGCTTTGTGGTTAAAATCTTGTTTTAAGACAGTCAGAAGTGATTTACTCAAATTCTGATAAAAAACCACTCGATTCAAGCAATTATTACCTCAAATTTTATCATTTTTTGCAGTGTAAAAACTTCAACTAAGCAGCAGTGTCAGGGTTTTCATCTGTTTTACACAATGTTGAGCAGAATTAACTCCAATTGAGTGCATATTGTTTAATATGCACGCTGACCAATGAGTGCATATTATTTACTTTATTTTTATAATTTTTCAAAAATAAGTAGACAATATACCATAGCCAATATACAGAAACATACACAAACATAAAAAAAAATAAATAAACAAACACACAAAAACAACAAACACAAAAAACAGTAATAAAATAACAAGGAGGAACAAGTTCAGTCCGTCAGAAGATATACACCACACAAATACTGTAAATGACATAAATATAAATATAAATGGCCTTTACATCAGATCGGCCCCAATTCCACATCGTACCATACCCGTCTATTTGGTTGAGACAATGCATGCCTATGCACTATCAGGGGACTCACACATGCAGACACACCGCACCAGACACCCATATCTATTGTCCCTCACCAGCATCCCAAAACACACTCCCACTCCTCTTGGCCCACTGCACATGCTCTACCCGTATACTTGCATACGTATCCACACACTTCATTATTATTATCTATTTTCCATTTGTTTAAATCCATTATCACTTCAATCCCACACAATATACACCTACAACACTTTCCTAGGTTCAGCGACAGGGTTTTTTAAAAAAATTTTTTTATTGATTTATTGATCCCCCTTAGTAGAAATTAGTCCCAACGTACAATCAACCTCCGCTGCACAGTCACAGTTAACCACTGATTCACAATATTCATGTGCTGTCCATTTCTTTTATAAACCATTTTTTGTCAAACTCATGGTCCATGTTCCTTATTTTGTGAGTTAACTTCTCGTTCAGTTTTACTTCTTGTATACTATTAATCCATTTTTTAATATCCAGTGGATTACTTTTTTTCCACTCCTTTGTTATGATCTTTAATGCTGTGATTCTAAGAATTTGAAAAATATACTTTTCATCTGAGTTTATATTCATTGGGATTTTTCCTAATATAATATTTTCTGATTTTAAATCAAGTTTCTTTCCCAGTATCGCTTCAACAATTTGAAATACTTCTTTCCAGTAGGGTTGTATTATTTTACAGGTATAAAAAATATGTGTATAGTTTGCAATTTCTTCTCCACAATTCCTCCAACATTTGCAATTTCCCCCTTTATATTTACTCATACTTTCTGGAGTCAAGAAGTATCTCATAATTATTTTCCAAGCAAACTCTCTCCAGAATAAGGAACTCATGGATTTATGGACTCCAGCACATATGAGTGCATATTAAAGTGATTTTAAGTGAGACCAAATATTAAGTTTGAGTTTAGTCTATTAAGGACAATGTGCAGTTACATTAAACAGATGACTGCACCAGAGTTAGCTCCATGCTACTTTCCATCTGTAGCCCTGAAGAAGATGACAAAGTCTGGGATCGTGTCTTTAATTCAGATAGAACACATGTTTTATTGTCGTTGGTAGAGACAGCACGAACACGAACAAAGATGTTACAGACTGCAAGTGATAATATACTGCGGAGGAATGAACTCCGTCCAATCAGCTTTCGCCGCGATGCCAGTAGCTTGGCCTTCAGAAGTCAAAACATGCTGTGGAAAAGTACTGGCTTGTGCATATGTTAGAATGATGAGTTAGAACTTTATCCACAGTTGCTTCAAAGTGTCATGACATCTCTAAAGTCCTTATACCAAATTAGTTCAGTTCAGTTTAAAGTTACCAACGTATTTAAAGTCCCAATGTGCAAGATACAATACAATTAACATTTAGCAGCAAATGGAGAAAGTGCAAATTACCGGTATAAAGTGCAGTACAAAGTTACAGTACAGTGTTTAGCAGCGACATATAAAGTGCGACACAATTTTCAAACCAATAAAGAACCATGGCTAATAGCTGTACCCACGGGGGTGTCAGCCTCTGGGTATAATCCGCCAATATACCCAACGGTACAGTAACTGTGAGCAAAATAACAGTCTGGTTATCTGACGGCCAAGTGAGTTCGAGTTCAAATCAGCTCCATCGAAGTCACATTAACGTCTGTTGTTACTGTGTGCAAAGGCCAAACAAACAAACTAACTCAGAATGTTTGTTCTTCAAAAGTCAGTGAAGCACAATACGTCCCCTTTAATGCCTCCTGCAGTTTGGTCTGTGCAGGAGGGCAGTGCGCCACGCGATTAACCCAATGTCACTCTCTCTTTGCAAAACGGCACATAGCTCTACAGCGTCTGTCACCACCTCCTCTAGCAACACACACACACACACACAGGCACGCACACACACTCCGGCACGCACACAGACACACACACACTCAGGCATGCACACAGACACACACGCACACACACACACTCAGGCACGCACACACACACACACACTCAGGCACGCACACAGACACACATGCACACGCACACAGACACACACACAGGCACGCACACAGACACACACACACTCAGGCACGCACACAGACACACACACACACACACACAGGCACACACACACACACACTCACACACGCACACAGACACACACGCACACGCATACAGACACACAGGTACGCACACACACACACACACAGGCACGCACACAGACACACACACACACACAAAGGCAGGCACACACACACACCCTGTCAGTGTTTGTTATTGGCTGTTATCCCCGGTTGCCCCCCATTACCCCCTCCCTCACCCGAATATGAGAAATACCACAGGAGTTATGGACTTTGGACCCGCGCCCGACATCTTCATTTGGCTCACGCACCTCACGAAAACTGGAGCAGTCAGGTTTCGAACGACTCGGATTCAGCTCTTTGTTCAATTATAAACGTAGATTTAAGATTTGAAGGTTGAAGGTATTTCTGAATATTTGCAAGAACCCTCAACGTGAACAAATGTGCGCACTGCAAAAAGTGATAAAATATGATATCACAAATCCTTAAATCAAGTGTTTTTATCTTAATCTGAGGAGATTCTGACAAGATTGTTCAATGGGACGAAGCCATTTAGTCTTATTTAAACATTTGTTGCTGTATTTTCTCATTCTAAAGGGAACATTTCTTCAAAATGTTCTCAAATTAAAATAAATGTTTTACTTGTTCACTTTGTGCAGTGTGTAATGTTTTATATCCACAAAGCGTTAAGTTCTTGTTTCAAATAAATGGTCAGCTGAAAAAGATAACAATAAATATTTTATAACCAAATCAGCTGCGTTTGATTTAAAAAAGATGAATAAAAACATTTCATAAATATCTTCTTTTGTTCAATGTTTACAGTTCTTTTCTCAATAAATGTGAGAATGATGATTACATATTTATTCATGAGTAAAGACCAAAAAATGGTCAAAATGTCATTAAAGGAGAAACATACTCTTATGATGAAACTGAAAACAAAAATTAAAATCTGCTGCCTTCATGAATCTTTCAGCTGTTCTCATAGCGGCCGTACCTGCAGGTGAAAACCAGATTCCATTAAGCCTCTGAAGCTAAGCTGGTCAGGGCCTGATTAGGACTGTGATGGTAGACCTCTGGAAACATTAGGTACAACAGAGGGATGCTTGCAGCTGCAAAGTGCCAAGTGGCTGAGTGGGTAGCACTCTAGCTTCTCAGCAAGAAGGTCCTGGGTTCGCATCCCGATTGGAACAGAGTCTTTCAGAGTGGAGTCAGCATGTTCTCCCCGTGCCTGCGTAGGTTTCCTTTGGGTACTCTGGTTTCCCCTACCACTATCTTCTCTGTGAGATCAATAAAGTCTATCTTATCTTTTAGAATGATGTAATGTGTTTTTGTATAGATGGCTGTGTTTTTGCAGCAGGTCAATTTCTCCCACGGGGATCAATAAAGCATCTATATATCTATTGTAAGTAACAGGAAGTCACAAACTAGGAATTTGCTTTGGCTCAAGATGCAATCAAGTTATAAGAGTAAAAAGGTAAGGACATGCATAAACAAATCTTCATAAAATGTCTTAAAATGACGACTATATACAAGTGCACACTAAGTACACACAATAGACAATTAGCAGTGCAGTAAAGTGACAATAGTGACAAGGAAAGACAGGTTTATTTTTATCATTTTTATAGCACAGTACATACACAAGGCGACTCAAAACAAGATAAGTAAAATTATCTCAGAAAATGTGAATATTTTGAGAATGGACTGTATGTCATAATCCTCAAGATTGAAACAAACAAAGGCTTGGGATACTTAGCTTGTAATGAGTCTATATATCATATATTGGTTTAACATTTAAAATACAGAAATAACTGAACTTTTGAACAATATTATAATGTATTTTTGACCCGAGACATTATTGTGAAGCTCATCCCATCCAGCCTCAGTGTGGGAGGGCCTGCCTGGCTCTAACATCTCCACTCTCAGTACAAGGGGAGGTGGATCTGTCTGTGTGTGTGTGTGTGTGTGTGTGTGCGTGCGTGAGGATTTAGACCTATCGTAAAGGAATCGCACCCCCAACCCCTCCTCCCAGGGCCGTATCTCATCACCGACACTTTTACACCTTTTTATTTTCAGCCCCATTGCAGCGGCAGCCCCCCGGAGCCAGAGCACCGTGATTTATCCCGGCTGGCAGCGGCACGCGGGCACTGCAGCGTGTGGGGGTGTGTGTGAGGGGGGACAGATGGGAGAGGGGGAGGTGGGCGAGGGGGGGGAGAGGCCAGGGAGCGATAAAGAAGGAGCCCGGAGATAGGGATGAGAGGAGGAGAGGAGGAGAGGCCGATTGTGCCAAGTAATGCGGCTGTGATGAGGGGGTAGTGCTGTTCTGGATTCTGACGATGTAGATGCTTTTTAATCTTCAAAAATGCACTTTTATCAGATGTTTCAAGTTCACAGACGACAAACACCGGAAGTCAGTAAGAAAGACCACTGTGTGAAAGACCATTCAACTAAAACAATCATTCCAAAGGCAGCAGCGCAGTATGCATCAGTCCAATGAAGTCGGTACAATTACAAACTATTTCTTGTTGCCCGAATCTTCCTGTCTGTGACACATGTAGCTTCTAAACACTCATTACTGATGAAATCCACCTGCTGGGGTTTGCAAGAAAATGCACGATCTCTGTGTGTTACCGATTGTTATTCGTTCTCGTAAATTTCATTTAACCAGTGTTGGGTAAGTGACTTCAAAAGCAAAAGTTACAGTATGTGGAGCTTAACTTTTCTGTTCCACATCTTTTTTACTGCAAACGGCAAATAAAATGAATCTGAAATCTTTATCTCCAACAAACTCTAAATAATTGGAGTCCGTCTATCTGCAAAAAGTACTATTATCGACGTAGTGCCTGCTTCAGCTTCAGCCGTCTTCTACCAGAAAGGAACAACACGTCTAGGCAAATACTGTTGGAGCAGATAGGTTCTCCTCTGCTGATCTCACAGTGGCAGAGAATTAAGACAAAACACAATTTATTTTTGGGTTAAAATACAATGCTACGCACGTTACTGACCTTTGCGCCGAGTAAAATATTAGTTAGTCGAATAGGGTCTCACTGGGCTCTAGAAGGCAAAAGATCACATGTGGAGACAGTGTGTTGTCGAGTGAGTTGTTTGCTTTGATAAGACTCTTTCTATTGAGACAAAGAATGTGTTATTTATGAAAGAATATAAGTTAGGTACACAAGCTTTAATGGTAAACTACCACCTGTGTCATGGTGTGGCTTTTATTTTTGTACTTTGGTTTTATTTTGATATTTTCTCTGTGGTTTGGTTTTGAGTTTGACTTCTTGTGGTGTTCCCCTGTCTTGATTGTCTGCCCCGCCCTGATGTGTTTCACCTGTGTCTGTGTCTATATGTAAGTGCTCCTTTCCCCTTGTTGCTGTTCCATTGTATTGTCAACTTCTGTTCCGTCCTGTTTCTGATTTTGTGTTCCTTGTTCTGTATTTTGGATTTTGAGTTTTATTTTCACTTTGGACTTTATTTCATTAAACCATTATTTTGGCATTCCTGCATTTTGAGTCCTCCTCCTTCCCACCCCGTGATAACCTGTCTCTGAACAGTGTAGGATCAATCACACAGTTGATTCGTCGAGGGAGTTGCAAACTAAAACACCGATGTTCGAAAGGAGGCCTGCGTATTCTTCACTGAACAAAGCATTCTGGCACAACTGCGAATCACAGAAGTCATCACACTCTTCACATTTCTGCAAATATCTCATATGTGTAATTGCTGAGATTAAGATTAAGAGACCCTTTATTTTGTCCCACAGAGGGCATAGCTTCAGATTTTCTACTGGACAAATAGTAGGAATGTCACTTTTCGCTTCATATTTGAGTTTTCATGCTGCAGACTGTGTTTTATGCAGCGTATTGAAATGAGGTGTCGACAACTGTGGGAATGTGTAATAACGAGACAAATGTAATAAAGTGAATGGGTTATGGCTAGTTTTTAAAATAATTGTACTTACAGGGATCCCAGTGCACACATTCACACAGTTGTCGTGGAAACAAGGCCTGAGTGATGCTCCTGAGCCGCGGCACGGTGGCTGAGTGGATAGCACTCTCGCCTCTCAGCAAGAAGGTCCTGGGTTCAAATCCCGGTTGGACCAGGGCCTTTTCTGAGTGGAGTTTGCATGTTCTCCCCGTGTCTGCGTAGGTTTCCTCCGGGTGCTCCGGTTTCCCCTACCACTAAAAATATGTACAATAGTTCTGGCATGTGCCTCCTGTACTGGCGACCCCCACACAAAAAAATCACAATTGTAAAGAACTCCACAAATCATGGGTTGCACCTGACCTGCCCACCCCCTAGAACCAAGGCAAGTGCCCATATGCAAGAAATTTCACCCGCACCCCTTGCGATATTCCATGTTTTCTCTCATGTTAGGTTCTAACATTATTTCACAAACATGAAGACAGATGGTCTGAATTGTTCACCACATATATACTTTTGCATATGAGCGGACCATCCAAAAAATCTAATATCATGCCAACACCCCACAGTACGGACCCCCCAGCTTTCAGGCAATAGTAATATGCCCCATTACAACATACCAAGGCGCTTCACATAGTTGCGTCAGATGTTTTCGAAAATCACCTAGGGATGTACTTTATGGCCTCTCTGATCAATTCACTCCTAGACCATGTATCAAATATCGCATACCTTTGGCTGCTTCTATCTAACTATTAGTCCAACAGACAAGTGACAAAGAGCGCCGGAGAAACCACCTCACCACACCCATCCATCAGCTCAGGAGGGGCTCCGAGCGAGGGGCATCAAACCGGACGACCAACCAGCAGTTATATTAGCTACTTTCTTAGGCCCTACAGTTTAGCACTATAGTTACAACCTAGCTTCTTTATTTATGTTCCAATTATGAGATTTTATATTTATTTTTCGTATGGAGTTATTGTACCCTAGAGAGAGCACCTCGAACCTACCTTAACCCCCTGGGACTGCCCAGCTCGCCATAAAGCCTTTTGGCAGATACATTCTGGTAGCATTGTTCTACGACCCCTACATCATCAAGATGTACCTCCAACGGCCAAACCCAAACGCTCTACCAAGCGGCCATTAAAATGCCCCTATCTCCCTACCAGACCTATATCGAAGGCCATCCGCACCACCCCCCAGGAGAGATGTAGGGCGGGAGAGAGACACCCTAGGAGGCCATCCGCCAGCGGCCTCCTATTACTACATGCTACATGCTGGGGATAGCTAAGACAGACAATAGAGCTCTCCACAGCTCAGCTGTACATATCCTCGATGTCAGGTCACTCTCAGGTTACACTGGATTGGTCAAAGGGGTTCAGCGGGGTCAGGTATTGAGATGCACTGTCCAATTCAAACAATACAAAAAAATCCTACTGTTCTGTAACTGGTGATGCAACACTGACATTTCCTCACTGTGGGACCAACAATCTCTTTATCTTAATCTTAACCATCCTCATGCTGTTACTGTCCATGGGAGAACTGGACTGTGTCCGAGCTGTAATATCAAAAGAATTTTTTTAAAGTATAGTCTAGTCTAAATACTGGAACAGTGTGCGCTAAGAGATGGTAGAAAGTTTTCCTTCTGTCATGGAGTTAGGGCCGTGTCCCGGTGGCGGTGATAGACCGGTCAGAGCCAACACACAACAACAGTTTCTGCATGTTCTAGAAGACACATCGTCCACATTCTGGCTTTGGTAAACAGCTCCATCACGTGAGCCGTCTGCTGAAGCACCAGGCAGAACAAAGACCTCACATTAATAACCCACACACCCGCTGTTCCCCCTGCCACCACCGGAGGCAGGCCAGACTCCCCACACACAGGAAACACCACAGAGCCTTCACAACAGAAGTGTAAGAGCAGTTTAAAAACACTTCTAGTGGATTAACGCAAACATTAAAACTGGGAGTGAGAAATATACTGTTGCAAATTCTGCAGGGTTCTGCACAGACAATTACAGATTCATCAGAAATTCATGTCATATATTTAAGTAAGACTAAATCTTGAAAGACTCAAGACAAAGATGCTTGTTTATTGAACATGTTTGCAGACATTAGTCATTAGCCCTGGCAGATGCAGGATGTGAAACTAGAATATTTATTGTATTTGAACATTATGTGCTCTTAGTAAGGTTTGGCAATCAAGCCCTGGCAGAATATTGCATGACGTCTGCAAGAGGGAATTGATTAGAGATTATAAATGTGTGAACCTCCCCGGCCTGAGACCCTGGTTGAGGTGGTTCTTCCAGGCCTGAGACCCTGGTGGAGGTGGTTCTTCCAGGCCTGAGACCCTGGTGGAGGTGGTTCTCCCAGGCCTGAGACCCTGGTTGAGGTGGTTCTTCCAGGCCTGAGACCCTGGTGGAGGTGGTTCTTCCAGGCCTGAGACCCTGGTGGAGGTGGTTCTTCCAGGCCTGAGACCCTGGTGGAGGTGGTTCTTCCAGGCCTGAGACCCTGGTGGAGGTGGTTCTTCCAGGCCTGAGACCCTGGTTGAGGTGGTTCTTCCAGGCCTGAGACCCTGGTGGAGGTGGTTCTCCCAGGCCTGAGACCCTGGTGGAGGTGGTTCTCCCAGGCCTGAGACCCTGGTGGAGGTGGTTCTCCCAGGCCTGAGACCCTGGTGGAGGTGGTTCTCCCAGGCCTGAGACCCTGGTGGAGGTGGTTCTCCCAGGCCTGAGACCCTGGTGGAGGTGGTTCTCCCAGGCCTGAGACCCTGGTGGAGGTGAAAACTGAGCCAACAACATGATGATTCCTCGACTGATGAGGTGGTGATGGGGAGGAGGAGGGTTGCTGCACAAACAGCAGCTTGTCGCAAGGACTGAGAGGCACCATTTAAATAAACATAAAGTGACGGTGATGAGCGCAGGTGTGTGGTTGATTGTTCAGGTGCAGGTGTGGAGCAGAGAGAGGACTGTGTCTGAATGTCTGCTTCAGCTCCATAGTTGTTCTCTGATGATAAATCAGCAACAAACACAAGAGAACCATCCCCAGCCAATCAGCTCTCAGCTCAAAGCAACAAATAATGACTCACAGGGCTCGTTTCATAAGTATGCAAAAGATAACGTTTTATATTTAGATGAAGACAGAATGCTGTGATCTGAATTGGCCTGGTCACATGCTTTCACAAGACACGTTGTTGGAACAACTATGAGACAAACACAATGCACAACAACCCGGCTTTAAGGCAATTTTCAAATTGATGTGTGCCGCCACCAGGAAAGCCTCACTCCAGCAGAAATCAGGAGCTGAGCTAACCTGGCCTTTGCCCTCCATACACTTTGCTCAATCATCATTTCACTGCATGTAACGTCTGGGTCTGGTCCCAGTGTTAGCGATTACAATCGGTTGAATTTCGACCGACCAATCAGAGAGCGCGGAAGGTGGGTGTTGTAGTTAGTTGTGGGTGATGTCAAGAGTTTGCGTCGAACGGGAAGGTTGTGGTTTGGCAATGGCAAAAAATGCAATAGTAAAGTAATCCGGTCTGGCTCTATCAAGAAATGGAAGCCGGAGCAATAGGAAAGTTTAGCAAATGTAATCGCTATAAAAAATCTCCCACAGGGTCCATAGCGTAGCGGCAAAGGAGATGGCGAGGCTAAATGCTCAGGCCCTGTCCTGCTTACCTTCTGTGCCGGGAGAGTGAACCAATAATGGGATGTGAAACCTCTGAGTATCCAGAATACTTAATTTTTTTTATCAGTAAAAGTAGTAGAGTTAGACTATTAGAATGGCATGAAAGGGAAAGTACGTGGTATATGACTAAAGGCAACGCAAGTTTATTTGTATAGCACAGTTCATACATAAGGCACCTCAAAGTGCTGAACAAAACAAGGCACTAAAATCATAGATAATCACAGTACATTAAAAAGAAAAGTTGTATGTACAGCAAAACAGATCTGTTTTTAACCTGGATTTGAACATTGTCAAAGTATAGAAGCCTGTATCACATTTTCAGGAAGACTGTTCCAGCTGTGTAAATATGCAAACGCTGCCACCCGATGTTAGGATTTAGCAGACAGAGACGGATCGTGGTGTGCCAAACTCTGGAAGTTTATTTAAGTTTCTCTAAAGTTCCACTGGTTTACTCTGTTTCTTTCTCTCAGACAGAATAAAGGCAGTACACAGTTTATATAGTCATTGTCACGTCACACATCGAAAGACATACGTGTCACAAAGAGACAGTCACATCATAGTCATAACATGGAGTCATCATCAGAAGAGTCCTTGTACAGTCCTGCACGTAGGCCATATTGCTATCTAATACTAACACCCTCCCCTTTGATCACATAATCACATGTGATCACTCAAATCGATCAATCAATAAAATGGAAAAAGAAAAAAAAAAAATCCAAAAAAAAACTTCAAAAAATTATTAAAAACAAAGAAAATGTATGCATTAAACTCATAATCATCAAATCAATATCAGTGGATTTTATCCTCTATCCTGGGAAAAAATAAAAAACAAAAATAAGTAAATAAACAATAAAAAAAACAAAAACAAATCAAAAATAAAAACAAACAAAAACTATTGGACACACAAGAACTCAGCAGATTCAGTCAAAACACAGACAAAAACGAGCTGAGTCTCAAATTTGAAGCTAATTTCACTTTTATTACTCTATACTTTTATTCTAATGCTAATTGTTTACACTTCACTTCACTGTATTGTTTTCACTTTTCAATATTAGACTGTGTACTTTACTCTCACTATTCACTATAGTTTAAAACTATTCTAATCTATTCACATAAATCTCTCTGTTCTGTGGTTTACACTCTAATTATCAGTGGCATATTATTAGTGGGATTTTGCTCCATGTCTATTCTCATTCTCAGGAATAAAACTGTGAACACAGTAAGGCAAATGGTCAACATTTACACTTCTATAGTGGTCAGTGATTTATTACTTTTTATTATCTAAAGATATTATTGTCAGGCAGTTTGGGATGAATGTACATCATTAATCAAATTAGTATTATCCTTACAAGAGCTAATCTATTTGAGCAGGTTTGGGGTTGGGGTCAGTTATTCTACAATGGTGTTTGTGCTGGAAACTTCTCAATATCTAAATATCTACTATTGTGTTTTTGTGCTATACACAAATACATCAAAATGCTTTTAAATGCTTTTGAATCTCTGTTGGTTCTAATCTATCTCATTGATCTAGGCATTAATCTAGGCTACACTCATATGGACTTTTGCATTGTCAACATTCACTCATGTTTGAACACAAGTGAATTTGGCAAGTATCTAATAAAACTGTACATAAACTGTAAGTAACTTTATCTACTTTTGAAGTAAATATTTGTGAAATGGACCATTTGATATTAGCACTGGCTGGAAATATTCTCTATTTTTGAAAGCATCTATGGTTGATGCATTTATCTAATTCTATTTCTACTCTACTGTGACTCCAAAGCTCGGTTGCAGCTTGAGCAAAGGCATATTCCTAATTTGTGACTTCTGTCACTTTTAATATCTCTAAAATACTCTGATTCTAATATTATAGCTGATCTATCAAAAGGATAACATTGTAGGGTACTATTTTAACTCTTATGTGGAAATGTGTTTATGAAAAACAAAGGAAGTCAAATTCTACTCTTTTACTACTATTTAACATCTACTAAAACGCTACAATACCCATACTTTATCATTTTAAAACATTTTAACAGTTGCTCAGTCTCCCAGACTAAAAAGTCAAAGTTTTTGTCTGTCAGATGTCTGAATACTTAACATGTATATTGCATTTGTCACAGTTTCTGGTTGTAGCAATAGCATCGGCAATAGACGTTTTTCATTGGCTGGTTCTTGTTCTGCAAATGGCTGTGTCCAATAGATCATCAGATGTCCAGAAGCTAGGGACAAACAAAAACAAAAGAAGAATCATGAGTATCTGTCTCATTTAGCACTCATCAATGTATGATTTTAATAATATAAACATCACTCCCCAGTTTTTCTCTCTCAGGTCCTCAGGTCCTCAGGTCCCCTGAGGGCGAGTCTCAGTCGTCATCAGGTCAGGTCATATTTCGAGAGATGTCATCTTGGACATCAGTAGGGTCCAAGCCATGGTTTTGGTCTCTCCAGTTGGACATCAGGATCTCCAGATACAGTCTTTTCAGTTGAAGCACATCAGGTCATTTGCGATGCACTTCTGGTCAATGGTGCAGTGTCACAGTTCCTGTACACAGCTTGTAATGCAGTAGTTACTCTCTATGGTTAAATCACTTTGATTCTACTTTAACACAATTTCTATTCATGCTGTTGCTAATGTCCCTCAGACAAAAAGCAAGTGCAGTTTACTTCTCTAATTTGTGTTTTTATCAGCTCTAATCCTCATCAATGTAATTACTTCACACAGTACAAAATCAACAAATCAAAAGTGTCAGGACAGACGTCAATTAGTCCATGACAATATAGAATTCAAATGAACATTTCTGGTCTCAAAAAATACTGATTCAACTAAAGATTCAAGTGATAGAAAATTAAAAATATGTGTTTACATTGGAGTAAACTTTTAAAATGCTTTTTTCTCAGGTTCTGCTTTTTCATGTATCTATATGTAAATGTGAATGTGTGAGTGTATGTGTGTGTGTGTATGTGTGTGTATGTAAATTTTGGGGTTGTCTCCAGACTCTTCGAACCACCTGTAGGTCTCAAAGGTCACACTGTGGTGATGTAAACCACGTGGACACACTTTCAACTGCCTCTAGGTCTCTACCTGACGCTCCACCCATCACTGCCTCCAGAAACCTCCACTTTGTGGCCCCGGTCTCACTCCCACTTACTTCTGTAGTGGGGGGAGGGGCGTAGAGGTGGCATTGTTGCCCTTTGCTCTTAGCTCTGTGGCCTGTGGCTGGGTGGGCGTTGCGCTGTCCAGTGTCCAGCAGTGACCTCTCGTACAGTGAGGCAGAGTCTGAAAACCAATCCTTGAGACGGCCAATTTAAAAAAAACAATAGATATCAGTATGCGAATGAGATTGTTTTTCTCCCTAAAGTCAAAACAATTTTGGAGCGCTCTGGGTTTTCCCAAGCGCTATGTAAATAAAAGATTACTTATTATCTTACTAATGATGACATTTTTAAGACCAGAAACTCTTAATATAAAAAACAAGACTCAAATCTAAAAAAACCTTTTTAAACTTTAAACTATGTATTATATACTTTTGTACTGTGTGATTAATTATCCATGAACATTTATCTCATCATTTATTTTACTAATTTAAAATAATTGCAGCATTTTTCAAATGAAGTCAGTATGAATTGGAGCACATTTTAGACCAGGCTCCTGTGCTGCGTGCATCTGCAGCAGCAAGGTCAGGTGCATAGTCAAAACAAAAACAAAAGTCACCACTTGCAAGGTGAATTGGGTAGTTTAACTTAAAAATACTTTTACAGCCTAATTCCCTCTTTCTTTTTAGACGAAGTCTATAATCAATAATCACTTTTAACACAGATTCTAATTTAAATGTTTGAAAAACGGCTTTTGTAACTAAAATAAAAACATAAAAAAATTCTCACTAACAGCTATGAAATATATCAGAGATACAATAATGGACTCACAAAATAAGCAGCAGATTTAAAAAGAAAAGCAAAGCTTTTTGTACTAATCTTTGGGTTTCAAAAACATACTAATTCAAAACTTATATTTACTAAATGGTGTTTAAAAACGTTTAACTGTGTCTAACACAATGTTCAAATGGCAAATTTCGCAAATTTAACGGAATAACTACTATGAAAAGCCAAAATCCTAAAGCAGTAGCTTTGATTCAGAGCCAGAGCAGCGAAGGAGGGGGCCGTTCCCTGACAACGGCAGCAGATAGAGATGTGCACACACAGGCAAAAAGATACAGAAGAAGAACTTTCAAGATTACTTTTTTAAGCAAATATAACTGATGTTGTTCTTTAAACTTTTGTCATCCAAGTCTAGAAGTGATCACTTTCCACACTAGTAACAAAAGGCACTCTTACTTTAACGTACGCTTCTATTTTATCGAGGTAGCTAATTTAAATTCAAAATCTCTTTCTAAAAAACAAAAACAACTGTTGGATACAACCCTCTCATAGCTTAACTGTAGATAAAACTCGGCAAAAAATGTAAATAACTCACGAAAGCTCTCATAGCTCAACTTTAGATAAAACTCTGCATTCTCCGGTGAACTCTGTTCACTCCAAAAACAAAAACTCCCTTTTTCTGTATGTAATTTAAACCGTGATCACTGAAATATTGTTGCTTCTTTACTTTTGTCATTTATCAGCCTGAAATTCGTCAATTTCAAAGCTTTTCTAACAAAGGCCTCCTTAACACGTTTCCCTTTTTATTGCTTTTATTATTACACCATGGTTTCTCTCAAAGGGACTTTAACCCTGAAGCTTCTTCTCAAAGGGACTTTAACCCCGAGGCTTTTCTCAAAGGGACTTTAACCCCGAGGCTTTTCTCAAAGGGACTTTAACCCCGAGACTTTCTCAAAGGGACTTTAACCCCGAAAACGTTTTCTCAAAGGGACTCGAACCCTGAAGCTTCTTCTCAAAGGGACTCTAACCCCGAGACTTCTTCTCAAATACAATTTAGAGAGTTTGACAGACCCCAAAAACAGACCAAAATTTAGCTAATATCCAATTATGCAGACTTTACATATAAAAAGTAAGTAAGTAAGTAAGTAAGTTAAGTTTTTATTTATATACCGCCTTTTCACTGCAGATCTGAGTCTCAAAGCGGTTTACAATTGTTAATGTTGGGCATTTGTCTCACTCCACACAGAGATGGGAGCGGGGCCAGTACAGGAGGCACATGCCAGAACTATTGGACATATTTTTAGTGGTAGGGGAAACCGGAGCACCCGGAGGAAACCTACGCAGACACGGGGAGAACATGCAAACTCCACTCAGAAAGGCCCTGGTCCGGCCGGGATTCGAACCCAGGACCTTCTTGCTGAGAGGCGAGAGTGCTATCCACTCAGCCACCGTGCCGCCCGCAGAGTTTGGCACACCACTTCCAGAGTTTGGCACACCACGATCCGTCTCTGCCGTCCAACAGATTTGGTGGAGGATGCGCGGCTCGGTTTGTGCCATTCTCTGGATTGTTTTGAGGGAGTTTGCTCTGTTTCTTTTCCTCGGCGTGAGAGATCGGCATGCTGTGTCTGGGAGCGGAGATTCCAGCAGCGGAGATTCCAGCAAAAAGGTGTCTGCTTACCTTATTCTTGTCAAACCGGTTCCAAGGACTGTCCGAGAGGTCTGCCAACCTCTTTTCCGCGTCGGAATATTCAATTTAAAAAACAAAAGTGACAGAAGCGACAAGAAGCATCCAGGAACAGCTCTTCCAGCCTGCTGGAATCTCCGCTCCCAGACACAGCATGCCGATCTCTCACGCCGAGGAAAAGAAACAGAGCAAACTCCCTCAAAACAATCCAGAGAATGGCACAAACCGAGCCGCGCATCCTCCACCAAATCTGTTGGACGGCAGAGACGGATCGTGGTGTGCCAAACTCTGGAAGTTTATTTAAGTTTCTCTCAAGTTCCACTGGTTTACTCTGTTTCTTTCTCTCAGACAGAATAAAGGCAGTACACAGTTTATATAGTCATTGTCACGTCACACATCGAAAGACGTACGTGTCACAAAGAGACAGTCACATCATAGTCATAACATGGAGTCCTTGTAGAGTCCTTGTACAGTCCTGCACGTAGGCCATATTGCTATCTAATACTAACACCGACTTCATAGGAACCGGGGGATCACAGGGGTTCTAGGTCTTGGTACTTCTTGGATAAGCATATTCTACATAGGGCCCCTTTAATGATCCTTCACACGTGCTGTTCCCGCTGCCACCACGGGAGCGCCTGCCAAAGCCCTCACGCATGAACCCACCTTTATTATCAGCGGCGGCGTTTTGGCGACGGCGAGGCTCATATTAAGTGGGAAACGAATGGCAGCTTCGGTCGGACAGCGCGTCGCCTTCAGTTCCTCTCGCCGGAGTGCTCCATCATCAGGCAGCTGTCAGCGGGCCAGGCTGGGGGCTGGAGGCTGGGGGCTGGGGGTGGGGGGTGTCATATGTGTGGGACAGCAGGAGGGTACAGCGGGTGACCGGGTGCCCCAACAAAAGATCACCAGGCGTGTCTGTGGCGTGGGCGGGGGGTAGGTGTGCTCTGAAGGCTGATGTTTTGTTGCTAATATCAGGAAGTCCATCTCTGAGATAATGTGTGTTCTTTAAAACGTTGCAATGATAACGCACCAAAACAGGAACGACCTGATGTACAGCTGATGACTGCATCAGTGAAATGCGCTATATAAATAAAGTACTTACTTACTTACCAACTCCACTGTTGTGCACTGTAACGATAAGAAACAAATTTATCAGAGAATTGTTCGTGTATACACTGTCATACTTACTAAATAACAATGTGTTGGGAAGGCAACATTTCGGCGTTCGGTCTTCATCACCAGGAAGTCATCTGAGGGGGACGCAGGAACAGAGCCTTTTACAAATAAATCACATGTACAGATGAGCAGAAACAGTTTCAAGATAAAACAATTATATACATTGTCAATACAAGTCAAAATACATACAGGAGGTGATATATACAGTGATAGATATATAAAACCATATAGACATAATACCATGTAGACATAATACCATATAATAGACATAATACCATGTAGACATAATACCATGTAGATATAATACCATATAATAGACACAAAAGGCATCAAAAACATATCCTCCTAAATCATTTTTGCTCCATCATGTCAGATTACAAATACATGAATACATTTTCATAAAAATATACTTAAGTGGAATATTTTTGTGCTCATCTCCACAAAATTGAGAGTATTTTGATTAATAAATTCAAGTCAGAGGTTTACATTCATTATAATCACATTCTTCTTATTCTTACATTCATACATACATTTATCTTGTATTCATGTTTGAAAAAAACAGCATGACTTTGATCACACTGGAAGGGTTCTTAAATACAGGGATTTATATTCTCCAGTATTGTAACCTCCCGATACATCTCCCTCTATATTTTTCAAATATTCATCCCAAAATACATACTTAAATGTGTAATTATACTATTTATCTTCAGGTTATACACACAACAAGGTCACTATGCAATGTACATATAAATAAAAAGTAAAACAAATGCAAACTGAGGGAATCGAGCAACGCAAGTATTTCTACACTCTGCTGCTGAAGGTAAAGATGGAGATGGATGGATGATCAAAGCCTTGGATTGGTTCCGGAGGTCACACGTTAGAGCTGTGGACGTGTGTCGACAGAGACAGCAGGTGAGCTGCAGCAGATGTGTGTGTGTGAGTCTGTGTATGTGTGTGTGTTTGTATGTGTGTGTGTGTGTGTGTGGGTGAATGCTCATTTGCATATTTACGGGGGTGGCCCTGAGGTGTGTTTACGGTGGCTCTCTCACTCAATGCCTTGGTGTGTGTGTGTGTATTTATGTCTTTGCAGCACAGGTGTGTAGCAGGGCTTAGCATGGCTGTGCGTGTTTCTGGGGTTTCACCCATTGGCATGCCACTCTGGTTTGTGTGTGTATGTGTGTACCTGTATGTGTGTGTTTGTGTGTTTATCGCAGGTTCATTTGTATGCCTCTGTGTCCGTTCCCTGTGGAGAGGAGGACGGGAAGCATCTGTCACCTCTGCACACATCCACACTTAACCCTCACGGCGCCACAGCTTTCAGCAGGTTCCAAACACTGGGTCCTCGTAATTGGTACATATGTGTGAAGACAACACAAAGAAGAAAACTATTTAAATGTCCTTCCCTCTTTCTTAGTATGTACGTTAAGATGTATTTATCCCACAGGGGGAAAATGTCAGTATGGCATCACCAGTTACAGAATAGTCGCACAGCACAGATAAACAACTCTATACTAAAATAAAATACAATCTCTAACTTTAGCATAATAAAGAAGCAAGTATGTAAGTTCAGCATCATAAGATCATACACAAAATCTTAAGAAAATGTTTTCCAATGTTTCCCTTCACCGGAGAAAGCATCCAGCTCCCATGATGTCGCTCTTTTGGTGCTACTTCAACAAAAGCTGGCACCGTCTGCCGGTCAAGTCACTCTAATCTCACTGCAAAATGTGATGAGAAATGAAAATAACATTGCACAAATTTCCGGAAACGTATCTTCATTTGAGCACATTCTGACTGCCTTAAAACAAGATATGCCAATGTGACAAAGCAAAATTAGCTAGTTTTAAAAGGATACCAGAAATGTCTCAATTGGGATGAGAAAATAAAGCAAAAGTTCTTGGTTAAGACTAAAGCCTTGTGTAAAGTCGCGTGACGCGGAGCTTACGGTGGTGATGTGACGTCACTTGACCAACGCAAGGATCACCGCAAGAATGAGCTCAAAAAGCTTGGTTTGCTAATGTTTTTATTCTTGAGGAGAAAGTAGGCAACTCCTGTGAGATCGCCATCATGTGGTCGGGTGTGGGATTACAACATTATTTTCAAAACTCCGCAAGGACAACACGCGAGTGTACAAGCAACTGTGGCTGCATAGATCCATCAAAACCGCAAACGTAACCAGCGCCGCGCTGGTATGCACTAGGCTTAAGGGTACGGTCATAAGTTTTCACAAAGGAACTAGGCCAAGTGGCCTTGATTGTCTCAACACAAGTGTGAAGACGGCCCGCGGTCAGAAGGGTTTATATTTTCAACCGTGCCAGTCCAAATTCAGTGTAGTACAATGCTTGGTCCAGCTGGTGGCACTAATGCTAACTTCAGCAACAACCTGGAGATCCAGGAGGCATCCGGAAGAGATGCCTTAGCCACCTCAACAGGTCTACGCCGAGCTCCTCCTGTGTGACTGAGCTCCTCACCCTATTTCTAAGAGAGTACCCAACCACTGCAGAGGAAGCTCATTTCGACCGCTTGTATCCGCGATCTCGTCCCGGTCATTACCCAAAGCTCATGACCATAGGTGAGGGAGGGAACAAAGATTGACCGGTTAATCGAGAGCTTTGCCTTTCGGCTCAGCTCTCTCTTTACCACAACGCACGCTGCACTGATCCGCCTGTCAATCTCGCGCTCCATCCTTTCCTCACTCGTGAACAAGACCCTGAGATACTTGAACTCCTCCACCTGGAGAGGGCAAGGCACCTTTTTCCACACGAACCCCATAGCCTCGGATTTGGAGGTGCTGATCATCCCAGCCGCTTCCCACTCGGCTGCCAACCGTCAATTTCAATTGAATTCAGTTTATTTTTGTAAGGCCCTAAATAACAACAGTAGTACTTGGATGTATGGAGTATAAAACATGGTTCCCAGTGCATGTTGTCGTCCCTCAGGGCTGCCTTTTGTCTCTGGTTCTGTTCACTGGTTTAAGAAAAGTATCATAGGCACAGCCAGGGGCCAGAAGGTCTGGTTTGGGGACCACAGGATTCAAACAGCAATTAAACTTAAACTTAAAAGCGTTGATTCGCCAATGCAGATGAGATAATCAAACACATAGAGCCATTGGTCCAAAAGGGGCAGATGACAAATGTCTGTAAATGTTGTTGAATGTTGAGTGTACTGGATCATCACTGTCCTTCGACCCTCCTGAGTATTATAAACACATTACTGCTGAAAAATACTTGTGCTCCACGGTCAGAAATATGCATTCTATCAAAAAATGTTACAGACATCACCTTTAAGAAAATAACTTCGGATAAAACATGACAAAAGCCAAAGTCAGTTTTCTCATGATAATTGTAAGGGTCAAAAGTAACACAAATAATGCATCACATGTGCTGTTTAAGAGGATCTCTCCATTACGCCTCACACACACACAAAGCAGAGGGGCCCCGCGGTGCCCTGCCTGTATCCTGCTAACATGGGTAGATAAATGCGGCGCACGGCGGTGGGCAAATGACGCGCTGTGGCCCCGGGGCCCAGATGGCACGCCGCACTGATTTGCCTTGTTTTGTTTAATTACTACAATCAACTCTGCATTCCCTCAATGAATCACCACGGCGACCTGTTCCTCCTGTGACAAGCAGTCGGGATGTATGGAGAGGTGCATGATGGGATATTGTTTATGTTGTGGTTATGCAAAAAGACGTATAGGGCCAATTAAAGGGGACGTAGCATGCACAATCGACGTCTCTCAGGTTTTGACCGTGTATGTAGTTATTTTCCCTTGTTGTGTATCTCAGAACGTGGGGCTACTACAGCTATTATTATTCAAAAACATATCCAAAACTGATTGGCTTTAAAAACTGTTTTTAAAACGCTTTTATAGATAGGGCTTGCTTGAGTTCATCAACGTTGATAAACTCCATAAATACAGTATCATTGAATGTGGAGGGTCCTGGATCACCAACATCATCTTATTATATAAAAAATGTATTTCGGTCTCAACATTCTGTGTCAGAGCCATTCCTACTGTACTGAGGGCGGCTTTGGTCGTATGGTCAAGTGCCAGACCCTAAGCAGGAAGCAGAATGTGGCGCTGAATATCATGAAAGACCACATTTCCAGCCTGAAAGCAGAGATGCCAAATGTTTTATAAACTCATATTCATTTGGTTATTTTTCATTTAAAATTGTGCACTGCGTTTATTCCATAGTTCTTTATCTTTAACTGTATTAAAATATTACAGTTAAAGTAACTGATGCAATATAGAAACACGTGTCCACTGTTCCTTTACTTACTCCCTTTGTCCCAGGCCCTCATGCGGCCAACATGTACATATATTTACATACCACTATATATTTCACTATATATGGCAGACAGGTCTCAGGTGACGAGTCAGACAAAGAGCAGTCCAGAAGACACCATGGACAACACTAACATGAAAACAGTGACGTCGCCCGGCATGGCGCAGCCGGGGCCCCACCCTGGAGCCAGGCCTGGGGTCGGGGCCCGTATGCGAGCGCCTGGTGGCCGGGCCTTAGCCCACGGGGCCCGGCCGGGCTCAGCCCGAAGGGATGACGTGGGCAGTCCCTCCTGTGGGCCCACCACCTGCAGAGGGGTCCGTGGCAAAGCGGTGCTGAGAGGACTGGGCGGCAGTCGAAGGCGGAGACCTCGGCGACCCAGTCCGCACACACAACATCTGGCTCTTGGGACGTGGAACGTCACCTCACTGGGGGGGAAGGAGCCCGAGCTCGTGGGGGAGGTTGAGCGATACCGACTAGAGATAGTCGGCCTCACCTCCACACACAGCTTGGGCTCTGGAACCCAACTCCTTGAGAGGGGTTGGACGCTCCACTTTTCTGGTGTTTCCCGCGGGGAGAGGCGGCGAGCTGGGGTGGCCATTCTCATTGCCCCCCATCTCAGCCGCCACGTGTTGGAGTTCTCCCCGGTGAATGAGAGGGTCGCGTCCCTCCGCCTCCGGGTGGGGGACAAGTCTCTCATTGTTGTGACGGCCTACGGGCCTAAAAGCAGTGTAGAGTACCCGGCCTTCTTGGAGTCCTTGGGAGGGGTACTGGACGGTGCACCGCCCGGGGACTCCGTTATTCTCCTGGGGGACTTCAACGCCCATGTGGGAGACGCCAGTGACACTTGGAAAGGGGTGATCGGGAAGAACGGCCCCCCTGATCTGAACCCGAGCGGTGCTCAGTTGTTGGACTTCTGTGCCAGTCACGGTTTGTCCATCACGAACACCATGTTCGAGCACAAGGGTGTCCACCAGTGCACGTGGCACCAGGACACCCTAGGCCGGAGGTCGATGATCGACTTTGTTGTCGTATCATCTGACCTTCGACCGCGTGTCTCGGACACTCGGGTAAAGAGAGGGGCGGAGCTGTCAACCGATCATCACCGGGTCGTGAGTTGGATCCGCTGGCAGGGGAAGAAGCCGGTCAGACCTGGCAGACCCAAGCGTATAGTGAGGGTCTGCTGGGAACGTCTCGCTGAGCCCCCTGTCAGACGGACTTTCAACTCACACCTCCGGGAGAGTTTCTCCCAGGTCCCGGCGGAGGAGGGGGACATGGAGTCCGAGTGGACCATGTTCTCTGCCTCAATCGCCGATGCGGCGGCTCGTAGCTGTGGTCGCAAGGTCTCTGGTGCTGGTCCCGGCGGCAACCCCCGAACCCGGTGGTGGACACCGGCAGTAAGGGATGCTGTCAGGCTGAAGAAGGAGTCCTATCGAGCCATGATGGTTCGGGGGACTCCTGAGGCAGCTGTCCAGTACCGGCAGGCCAAGCGTGCCGCGGCCCGGGCTGTTGCAGAGGCAAAAACCCGGGACTGGGAGGAGTTCGGAGAGTCCATGGAGCATGACTATCGGTCGGCCTCGAAGAGATTCTGGCAAACCATCCGGCGCCTCAGGAGGGGGAAGCAGTTCTTTGCTAACACCATGTACGGTGCGGGTGGAGAGCTGCTGACCTCGACTGGGGATATTGTCGGGCGGTGGAAGGAATACTTTGAGGTTCTCCTCAATCCCCCCGTCACGTCCTCTGTTACAGAGGCAGAGGCTGAGGATGTTGGGGCGGGTACATCCATCTACCTGGCTGAGGTCACCAAGGTGGTTGGTAGCCTCCATGGTGGCAAGGCTCCGGGTGTGGATGAGATCCGCCCTGATTATCTAAAGTCTCTGGATGTTGTAGGACTGTCTTGGCTGACACGTCTCTGCAACATCGCGTGGCGATCGGGGGCGGTGCCAATGGAGTGGCAGACCGGGGTGGTGGTCCCTCTCTACAAGAAGGGGGACCGGAGGGTGTGTTCCAATTATCGTGGGATCACACTCCTCAGCCTCCCCGGTAAGGTCTACTCCAAGGTACTGGAGAGGAGGTTACGGCCAATGGTCGAATCTCGGATCCAGGAGGAGCAGTGTGGTTTTCGTCCCGGTCGCGGAACACTGGACCAGCTCTATACTCTCCATCGGATACTCGAGGGTTCATGGGAGTTCGCCCAACCTGTCCACATGTGCTTTGTGGATTTGGAGAAGGCGTTCGACTGTGTTCCCCGGGGTGTCCTTTGGGGGGTTCTCCGGGAGTACGGGGTCGGAGGTCCTCTGCTGAGGGCCATCCGATCCCTGTATGACCAGAGCCAGAGCTGTGTTCGCATTGCCGGCAGTAAGTCAGACCTGTTCCCGATGAATGTTGGCCTCCGACAGGGCTGCCCTTTGTCACCGGTTCTGTTCACTGTATTTATGGACAGAATATCTAGGCGCAGCCAGGGGTCGGAGGGGGTCCGGTTCGGAGACCACAGGATTTCATCTCTGCTGTTTGCGGACGATGTTGTCCTGTTGGCTCCAACGAACCAGGACCTGCAGCATGCACTGGGACGGTTTGCAGCCGAGTGTGAAGCGGCTGGGATGAGAATCAGCACCTCCAAATCCGAGGCCATGGTGCTCGACCGGAAAAAGGTGCCTTGCCCTCTGCAGGTGGGTGGAGAGGTCCTTCCTCAAGTGGAGGAGTTCAAGTATCTTGGGGTCTTGTTCACGAGTGAGGGAAGAATGGAGCGTGAGATTGACAGGCGGATCGGTGCAGCGTGCGCAGTTATGCGGTCGCTGTATCGGACCGTTGTGGTGAAGAGGGAGCTGAGCCGAAAGGCAAAGCTCTCGATTTACCGGTCAATCTTCGTTCCCTCCCTCACCTATGGTCATGAGCTTTGGGTAATGACCGAAAGAACGAGATCGCGGATACAAGCGGTCAAAATGAGCTTCCTCCGCAGAGTGGCTGGGCGTTCCCTTAGAGATAGGGTGAGGAGCTCAGTCACACGGGAGGAGCTCGGAGTAGAGCCGCTGCTTCTCCACGTCGAGAGGAACCAGTTGAGGTGGCTCGGGCATCTGTTCCGGATGCCTCCTGGACGCCTCCCTGGGGAGGTGTTCCGGGCACGTCCCACCGGGAGGAGGCCCCGCGGAAGACCCAGGACACGCTGGAGGGACTATGTCTCTCAGCTGGCCTGGGAACGCCTTGGGGTCCCCCCGGACGAGCTGGAGGAACTGTGTGTGGATAGGGAAGTCTGGGCGTCTCTGCTTAGACTGCTGCCCCCGCGACCCGGCAACGGATAAAGCGGAAGAAAATGGATGGATGGATGGATATATATTTCTGCACCATAATATACAGAATGTTATACTTGCTTCTTTATTATGCTAAAGTTAGAGATTGTATTTATTTTAGTGCAGTTATTTTTCATTTATCTTGTGCTGCTTTTTCCTACGGTTCTGTAACCGGGGTTGCAACTCTGACATTTACCCACTGTGGGACGAAAAAAGGATCTTAAAGTATTTTCCTTATAGATTTCTATGTTGGAGAGGGTCAGACTCCTCGACCCAGGCACAAGAACCTGGTGCAATTTGTGGGGTGTTACCCGTTCATGGGGGTGGATTGACTCGCTTTGGAAATGCTCGACGTCGACCTGCTCACGTTCATGAACGATCGAGATTTCATACCTCTGCAAATGAGCGAGATTCGGACGATTGCCCAACAGGTAATTTATCATTTCAAACTGATATTCCATCTTATTCCACGGACCATCGAGCCTGGGAATACCCATGCTGCTGTGTGCGCCTCAATCATTTTGCTTGTTTTGTTCATGTACTTTTAGCTTTTTTTATTCCTGTACTTTTAGATTGTTTTATTTATGTTCCTGTCTGGTGCACACTGGGGACTTTTGCACATGTTTTCCAAAGTGTTTTACTGCAAATGGCAAATAAACTGAATTCAAATCTTAATCCGAACAACATTTTAGAAACTTGGACTGAAATTTTCACATGGATTTTGGGACCAACCACAGAACAGGGAGGGGCTAGAAGACTATGATGACACACTATTGGACAAACAGACGCTTGATTGTTTACAGATCGAGCATGACCACAGCAAACACAAACCTCTCTTCCCTTGTGTCTCACCTGCACAAATGGCAGTAAACGTTTAGCACCATTGCGTAAACAGCTGGTCTTCTCTTTTTCTCTTCCTGTGGTATTTCTGCCACGTGACTTAAGTTATCAGGTTTAACGGTTTGGTGCATACACACAAGATAGACAGGGTTCTTAGACGGTGTATACAGCCTGAGTCTGTCCTTGCAGATGCAGGAGGGTCTAAGGACAGTGGTGATGAAAATAAATACAAAAATAAATTGAATTGAATTGAATTCCACTTGTAAGTCAGTGTTAGCACGGCAAGGGACCATGTGGCTCTGGTTGATGGTGTTGGGTCTGGTGTCTTTCCAGTGTTGCGTCTGGTGTCTTTCAGTTGCAGGTGGCTTTAGACGCCCTCAAAGGTGAAGGCATCCTGCACTGTGACATCAAATCAGACAACATGATGTTCACTGACCTGGAGCAGTGGTTCCCAAAGTGGGGGTGCCAACCTCCACTTTGGGAATTATTTAAATAACTTTCACTTCAAGACTTGTTGCATCTGTGATTGTGGTCAAAGATCCTTCTGGATCGAGACCGTTTTACAGTTTTTCTCTATTGCTTAAACACATTTCACGATACTGCCCTCCCTTTTCTCAAAACTCTAAACACAAACCTCTTTTCACAACACAACAACACAGTCTCTTTTCAAAACCGACTCATCACACCAAAATACCTCTCATGGTCTGCAAAAATGTGAACACTATGAGCATCATTAACCACTTCAACAAAACAATTGAAAACACAATTTTCAGAATGTGAGACTGTTCTTTTTTACAGTTTCACAACTGCCAGGATGCATTTGAGCAACACTTTTTTAATTCTCAAATATGTTTTGGGCCTTTACTGTAGATTTGCGCGTATCATTGGAATAGTTTCATAACGCAGAAAATGCAGTTATATCAAAACTCAATGCAAACATGGGAACTGTAAATTCTATAGAGGATCCATTAGACACAATAGTCATAACGTGGACAATGACTGTTGCTCTTAGTTCATCTGTAATGGAAATGCGTTGTCTTGCTCGCCCTCCTTCTCTCCCTCCTCGGCCTGCTCCTCTCCCTCCTTGGCCTGCTCCTCTCCCTCCTCGGCCAGGAGTTTTCAGTTCTGAGTGGTTGTGTTTTTTGAATGACACCAGGTCTGTTCCTTGTGTTCAGGTTTTGCTGACTGTGGGAGACATTTTTCATCACATGAGCCTCACAATGATTATAGGAGCAGAGATACATGCAAAAAGTGTTTTAGCAAAGGAAAAATGTGTTTAGAGTTTTGAGAAAAAGGGCATGTGTTTTGTGAACAGTGTCTACAGGAGAATTGTGTTTATGGTTGTGAGAAGTGGGGGAAATAAATGTGTTTAGGCAATTGGTCATTTGGTTTAGAGTACTGGGTTTTGTGTTGTAGCAATAGAGAAAAACTGTAAACCAGGGTTCATATAAACACTAGTCTCATATGCATCAGTGTCTGCTGATGTCAAGTCGAACAGAGCCAGCTTCCAGTGCAGATCCGGTGCAAGTTTTATTTACAGTATTTACATTTTTGTATTAAAATCAGGACAGCATGTCCACCGGCACACTCCCTGCTCAGAGTTGGTGGCCTGCTTTTATAGCAGAGGACAGTAATTAGACCACCCCAACTGCAGCTCAAAATCTACAAAATACAAAAAAATACAGCAATAATTAAAGCAGTGAATCTATCCTCTACAAATTACAAAAATATATCTCTTTATTAAATTTAGCAGTGATTCATTAATTCTGCAACATTTCTAAATTTGAAAAATAAAACCCAGGACACCCCTCCTCTCTGCAGAGTGGATGCACCCGGAACCCTAGGTGCTCCGGCTCCCTTGGGACTCTTTTGGCCGGAACACCTAAAGAGGGCAGACAAACAAGAAAACAAAAGGTCAGTATAATGTCGTACCTTTACTTGATTTAGTTCACTTACTTTTACAATTTCCTATACAGGTCTGCTCTTTTGCATTAAAAATCAATCTTTAATAAACTTTCTTTAAAACATTTGAGTCTGTCTCACTTCCCTCGCCTGTGAACACCTAGTAATGGACTCTTCTCCATTACAAGGAACAATGTGTGAATAAACTCAGTGTGATACATGTTTTTGCTGCAGCTGTTAGAACAATTATACAGAGGAATCAAAAGATTTGGGCAACCCTTTGAGTTTGTATAATTTCCTTTATAAATCTTGTCAGTTAAATATATCATACAGATTATACTTAGACAGACTTTATTGATCCACAAGGGGAATTGCGTTGTCACAGTAGATTGCATAGTATTTCACAATAAACAAAAATAAAATGAAGGCAAAGAGATTCATCTTATTCACTGAAAACACTGAAATATCCTCCCACAGTGGGGTACATCAAGCTAGCAACCCCACCAGAGACTCACTCAAATATCAGTTGTACATGTTGACCTATTATCTGGGGACACTCTCAAAATATGTCATTTAAAATGAAACTATTACACACGGCCCCTTTAATACTTGAAAACACTGTAAAGCCAGACCACGCAATGAGGTCACCTTTTTGTGTTAATATCAAAGAATGGCGTCTCTATAATTGCGTCTTGCGGCCTGTATTGGAATATATTCTCCGCATTACCTCACGGGGGAAGGGTCTGTCTGTGTCACCATTAAGACAGCGACGCTCGCATCCATCCCCACCCGCAACTAAGGCCGCAAAGAGGATCCTTCTAATGCATTCTGAGCATTCCAATTTCCCCTCTGCCACCGAAGACAGAAGCCCCTTTGAGCTCAATTACCCGAGTCTCCGGCGGTGCCTGGCGTTCCCGGGGACCCCTGCTCACGTGTGCGGCCCTAATCATTGCGCACGTCCGCACATCTAAGTCAGGCTGACAGGAAGGAATCACACAATCAGGAACGGGACAAACTGAGAGCGAGGCGTTGGTTCAGTTAAGAGGGCGAGATGGGACACTGGAGACAAGAGGGAATTGGACGTTTTGTAACACTATCGACGAGAGAGGATTTTAATAAATGGTTGTTATGCTCCAGAAAGAATGTGTGAGAGCGATTTTGTGTGAATGTATGGGTGAATATGAAGGTGCTAATGGTGGCACAATGGTTAACACACGGCAAAAATGTTTCTTAATTTGCAATTTTGACTGCCTTAAATCAAAATTTGTCAATGTGACGACAAAAAGGTCTTGTTTTTAAAAGATGCCCTTGGAATGAGAAAATAAAGCAATAGTTCTTGAAATAAGACTAAATGGCTTTGTACCATTTGCAAATCTTGTTTTAAGACAGTCAGAATGTACTCAGATTAATTTATAAACCACCTCATAGTTTATATTTTTTTGCTTGCTTTTCAGCAAATCCTGGGTTTGAATCAGTGGGGGCGGCTCCCGGTGTTCTGTCGAGTTGGTCTGCCCGTCGGATGATCTGGCTCAGCTGTTAATGATGTAATGCAAACCAGCGCTGCGCGTCTCACGGCAGCCAAAGCAATCCAAGATGGCGGACATGTAGTCCGCGAATTACTTTAAAAGTTAAATACGAACGAATTAAGACACGAATGTCACTTTCAATGCAATTTGAGGCGAGATGTTGATGGTTCCACGTTGTGATATGTGTGTTTTAAGAGTAAGAGTGTCGTGTAAAGTTTGTTTTAAGCAGTCCACTGATCCTGTGAAACTACACTGCTAGTATGCCCAAATCTGATTTGCGCATGCGCACAAACCCGCCAGAATGGGGGAAAAACTCGATCTAATTTAAAAAAATTGTTTGAACACACTATTGTTAATCATATTGAATACAGTATGATACATGCATAAAATGTAATTTATTATTTCCATTATCAACCCGACAGACCAGTCACAGGATGCGTCATGGGCCTGACGTATGCAGCAGTTAACTCAGGGACTGCGATCACACAGCAGCAGTGTAGTTTCACAGGAGCAGTGGACTGCTTAAAACAAACTTTACACGACACTCTTACTCTTAAAACACACGTATCACAACGTGGAACCATCAACATCTCGCCTCAAATTGCCTTAAAAGTGACATTCGTGTCTTAATTCGTTCGTATTTAACTTTTAAAGTAATTCGCGGACTACATGTCCGCCATCTTGGTTTGCTTTGGCTGCCGTGAGACGCGCAGCGCTGGTTTGCATTACATCATTAACAGCTGAGCCAGATCATCTCGACGGGCAGACCAACTCGACAGAACACAGGCTCAAAAAAGGCCAAAATGATCACTGGCATGCTTGGAATACCACCCCGGCCCGATGACGGTGGACCCGGAATAAGAATTAATCAATGCTAATGTACGTATCTTCTTAACTCTCAAAAGGGAGTTTTTTATTTTTTGGACAAATCTAGTTTAGTTGCTGTGAGTTTTTGAAGGCACTCTTTTAAATGAATGGGGCTGGTGCCGGCTGACACATGCGCAGATGCGTTTTTTTTCCCACATTTTCCAGCCCCCATGGCCATTTTCAAACTGCCCATATACTGTATCTCGGAAGTTGTGGCACATTAGTTAGAACGGCGAAGATAGGCGTGACTACGTCCGTTAATATTTACAGTCTATGGTTTGAATCCTGGATGTATGAGTGAACATGAAAATGTTAATCAAAACCGGCAGACACAGTGGTGTAGTCAATTCCACCTCCAGGCCTGTCTGTGTGGAGTTTGCATGTTCTCCCCGCGTCTGCTCCGGTTTCCTCTGGGTTTCCTCTACCATTTAAAAACATGTACAATAGGTCTGAATGTAATGAGTGATTGAATGGTGGCTTTGATGCACCAGTGTGTTCGGTGTCTCGCTTCCGTCATCACCGTGGAGAGAATGGAGAAATATCTGAACTCTGAACATTGTAACGCGCTTTGGGTGACGTTGGGCTGTATGATGCGCTGTATAGATAAATATTTCTTACTTACTTAGGGTTCTCCGGTAGTTTAAAGATAACCGTTACACTGCTTGTTTGAAGGCGACATGGTTCGAATACAGAACACAGTTTTTCTGAGCAGAGTTTGCATGTTCTCCCCATTCTGTGTAGGTATCTTCCGGGTGGTACAGTTTCTCCTACCACTAAAAACATGTACAATAGGTAAAATGGACTAATCCAACCAAGCTGAGCCTCAACATCTGCTCCTGACAGACATCCTAGTGGCAACAGGATGGGACAAATGCAGAGGAATAATTTGCAGACAGGGGAAAATAAAGTTTACTGTAACCTCAACCTAAATCAAAACCTGCAGCAGATGAACAGGTGATAAGAGACGTTTTAGGGTTAGGGTCCACTTTTCCAATGTTTTAAATGGGGTCCCAAGAAGAAAAACTTAGATGAATAAAGGGGGTCGTTGTAGTAGATATCTCCCATTGACAGACTTTCAGAGCGATCCATGCATTTTTTGACCTGTGTTGAATGCCGAGTCGTTCTGACCTGCCTGTGTGTCTCATTGTCTCTGTCTTTCTATCTATCTGTCTATTTTTAGAAATTTGTTGTTGTGAAATTTGCAAAAGCCGTTAGACAATGGCGGCCACATTAGTGCATCACGTCCAGTTTCTCTGACAATAAACCTCTGACGATCCACCTCCAAGAGCAGGAGATCTCTCTATAACGCGACACACCCCTCTTTCCTCCACTGCACTTTTACATCATCTGTCACAGCGATCTCCTTTGCGCCGCATCGATTTTCTGCAAATCGGCTTTTTATTTTAAATAGAGAACGCCTTGATCCGCAGATACTATTAAAGATGCAAAGCGTTCCGTCGGCCAAGCGAGAGAAGGATGATCCCAGGCGCAAGGACGTCGTGCTATCTGCCTGAACGCACACGCTCTTCCAAAAACCTTATTAAACTCCACAATTAGCCGCACGTCGCCCGCTATAAATAGAGCCCTTTTTCCCATTCCAGCGATGTCAGTCAGCGGCAGCACGGAAACAAAACAATTGAAATGATAGCGGCTCGCTCTTTGGCTGGCCATGCTTTTAACAGGATAATTACTAGTCTATTCATTGGCGCTGCACCGGGCCATAGATCACCTCTGTGGGCTCGCCTCGCCTGATAAACGTCCCGCTCGGAGTGGGGGGGGGGGGTGTTCTCCTCGTCAGTATTTACACTTTGGACAAAATGGGGCATTACTTTCATGTTTTAGAATGTGATCTAAATCTTGTATGGCGCAGTCTCATTAATAGTAGGGTTTTCACACTGACCAAAAACGTTCGGTCGAAAACCGCAGGTCGGCCTTTCCGTTCACTCTGACCGCTTTGACTGAGCTTTAAACTCAACTTTTTTTTGGACCAGTCTTTGTAGAAACCGTGTTCAGCGTAAACACAGCAGCAGATACAGCAGTAGTTTAGACTTTAGACTGTTTTATCACTGCAGCAGTCGCATGTTTAATTTCTTATAAGGCTTGAATATTGCACACATTATCGAATAAGTCTTGTGCATGTTTTTTAGCAAAATCATCTAAAAACAACAACACAATAAATAGATATTGAGAGTATCACAACATGACTATGAAACTATTGCAGACATTAAAACACAGATTCCATCAACTGCTTCATACATTTTCAGAATGTGTTTGTCACAGGTCAAACATAATGTGGGGAAACACATTATGACACATGTTTGTTGTAATATTACACAGCAGTGATGAGGAGCCGCCTCGAGCTTGTGGCCACGACCAGAGAAATCAAGGCCTAGATTCAAGATACAGTCAAATTATCTGAGTCTAACGCTCTGAGATTTCTCCTCTTTCCTCTCTCTTCTCTCCTCTCTCTTCTCTCCTCTCTCCACACTCTCCTCGTTCCTCTCTTCTGTCTCCTCTCTCCTGTGTCCTCTCTCCTGTCTCCTCTCTCCTCTCTCCTGTCTCCTCTCTCCTCTCTCCTCTCTCCTCTCTCTCTCTCTCCTCTCTCCTGTCTCCTCTCTCCTCTCTCCTCTCTCCTGTCTCCTCTCTCCTCTCTCCTGTCTCCTCTCTCCTCTCTCCTGTCTCCTCTCTCCTCTCTCCTCTCTCCTCTCTCCTGTCTCCTCTCTCCTCTCTCCTGTCTCCTCTCTCCTCTCTCCTCTCTCCTCTCTCCTGTCTCCTCTCTCCTCTCTCCTCTCTCCTCTCTCCTGTCTCCTCTCTCCTCTCTCCTCTCTCCTCTCTCCTGTCTCCTCTCTCCTCTCTCCTCTCTCCTCTCTCCTGTCTCCTCTCTCCTCTCTCCTGTCTCCTCTCTCCTCTCTCTTATCTCTTGTCTCCTCTCTCCTGTCTCCTCTCTCCTTTCTCTTCTCTTCTCTCCAGTCTCCTCTCTGCTCTCTCCTCTCTCCTCTCTCCTCTCTCCTCTCTCCTGTCTCCTCTCTCCTCTCTCCTCTCTCCTCTCTCCTGTCTCCTGTCTCCTCTCTCTTCTCTCCTGTCTCCTCTCTCCTCTCTCCTCTCTCTTCTCTCCTCTCTCCTGTCTCCTCGTTACTCTCTCTTCTCTCCTCTCTCCTATCTCCTCTCTTCTCTCCTCTCTCCTGTCTCCTCTCTCCTCTCTCTTCTCTCCTCTCTCCTCTCCTCCTGCTCCATCTTCACAACGCTCTGTTCACTCATAACTCTTCCGTTGTCTCATCTCTCTCCTGATGGAACACAGAACTGAGGGTCTTTAAAACCAGTGTGTTAAATCCTGCATCCACGAACATCTGGACTGATGCACATGTACAGAAACATGTCCTCTACCTTTAGCATGGTTATGTACATTTTTTTATTTTGTTTATTATGTTTATTATGTTTGCCCAACACTTAACAGTGTTGGGCCAACATAATTCATATTATATGTTACTTGTTACTGTTATTTCAAAGTAATGTGTTACTTTGAAAGTAATAATATTACTGTCCCTGAATTGTAAAGCATTACACTACTACTGCATCATCACATAATAAGTTAAAAAACAGAGCCTTTACAGAAGGGGAGTGGGGATGTAATGCCTTTACTTTTGGCTATTCCTGTTTTAAAACTTGAAATTCTAGAAAAGATAAGCATATAAAACATCAAGTGTATTGTCCAAGAGTATTCCTCAACCAGTTTATAAGCACTTTCCACAACTTCAACCAGAGTTTAACAGTTTCACAGTATCTTGTGCTGCAACACTAAAATGTATCTTCATCTTGATCTCACTCGTCCTGTCGCTTGTGGCTCTCTTCAGACTGTCCAGGGTCTGGGTCTGTGGGCTCCTCCTGTCACACCAGTTGTCCTTGTGCCCCGAGAAAAGTAAAGTAAAAATTATGGGAACAAATCACACTACACGCTTTCTCATTGGAAAAAAATTTCTACGACATACTCGTAAGAAAGATCCTGATCACTGTTTGCCTCTTTGGTCTGAGAGCTGATTTAGGAAATAGGCTGGTCCTCTCTTTTTCACTATTCTCTCTGAGCTGTGACAGAGGCCAAAAATACATTACATTGTGTGAAAACTTGTGATAAAACCAACCTGTTTTGAGAGCAAGGAACAGTTGGACGGGTTTTATTATATCGTATAACTTAATAATAATAATAATGATGCATCTATTTTATATAGCGCTTTTCTGGACACTCAAAGACGCTTTACATGTCATTCTTTCACTCCATCGGCCCCTCCGACCACCACCAACCATTCACACACACCAGACTCATTCTAGGCAATGGGGGTAAAGTGCCTTGCCTAAGGACACAATGGCAGTTTGGCACTTTACAGCCGTAGCCGCCCCACTGTGGCTGGCGTTCCCAGAGGTTAAGTGTCTTGCCAAGGACACAACGACAGCAGACCTCAGTGGGAGTCGATGGAGAAGGTCCCGTGGTGGGCTCGAACCCACGACCTTCAGGCTAAAAGGTCAATGCTCTACCAACTGAGCAACTGTCGCCTTTCTGAACTTAGAAGTAATGTCCCCGACCTTTATGATTATGTATGATATATTTTTTGGAAATGTAGTAATAGTAATAGCCAACTTCACCATAGACTCTGCCCAAATACACACATACATACATACATACACACACAAACACACACACGCACACACACACACACACACACACACACACTTGCCTGCATGTGTGTGTGTATCTATTATTCAACACGCTGAGACCCTGCCTGCTTACGGCCGCCATTAAGCAGAGGAAATCTATAGCGCAGACAAATGGCCCCTGAACGAAGAGCCGCAGGACGGGGGCGGAGTGAGGGCCTCTGCTCGGAGCTTCCACCGTCTCCCACGGCGACCGGGGAATCCATCACCGAGACGAGAGGCCGAGAGCTTACAGAGCCACCCCCAAACACAGGATCTACCGCCACGCAAAGGGACATAAAGCAATTAGAAGGGCTGTAAATCCTGTCCAGATAAAATAACTCAGGGATAAAAGGATCACAGCCGGAGGTGTTTCTCCATCGCTTAAACATCGAGTGGCACTGAGGGTAATGGGGCTTTAGAATCTTCTCTGGATGCTTCTGCTACTCGCCGCCGTGACAAGTGCGGTTCAAGAGAGATTCATCTTGAGGATATTTGAGCATGCATTAAAAAAAGGACGAGTGTATGGAATCTTGACTTAATCCTTTAGTGCAGCCATGTCAAACTCAGGCTCGTGGGCCAAATCCGGCTCTCAAGACCATATTCAGTTGCCCCTGAATAGATTTTTTATTATTATATTAAGTTGCAGCATTGATGGAACATAGGCTACGATCACATGTTGTTCCTATTTTCAAAGCTCTCAAGAAAACAAACACATCATTCAATCGTCAGCACGGAGCGAGAAGTGGGAGGAGGTGTGTGGTCAGAGAGTGTTTGGGCCTGTGTCCTGCCGTGTGTTGTGTTGCGTTTGTGTGATTGTGTGGGTTGTGTTGAATGAGTGAAAGGGGTTCGTCCAGCGTCTTTTTTAAACGGTTTATTTTTTGTCTTGTTTATATTTTGTTTCTTGCTTATTTTTTATATTGTTGTCTTTTGCATGTCGTTTGAAATAAATTCTCACTATACCATTTATTAATATATTCAGAACTCCTAAGCCAACATGTAAGGCTCTTTAACTACATCACTTGGTAGGTTTTGGTGCATTCCACAGTAACTCATTTGTTCCGAAAAATGTATTGGAAAAGAATATCCATTCTAACTAATTTGAATAAAGTAATGTATCAAAATAACACTACTTTTATACTTTTGGCCCTCAACCAGGTCTTACATTTTTTATTCGGCCCTCACCTGAAACTAGTTGGACACCCCTTGCTTTAGTGGTTTCCTAAACCATTTGGTGGATCCCTTTTGGAGTCACTAAATCTCCCTCATGCTCTCATCCCTCTGGCTTGGTTCAGACCTCACTTCTTGGCCAGTGCGTGAGCTTTTGTCCAGCTTGTTTGTGTATTTGTTACTTACTGTTGTGTCCTGCCTGCCTGCCTCTATTTCTGCTTTCGGGTCCGACACACAACCATAACAACCATTTGGTAAATATAATAAAAAGAAATTTGGTGCTGGTTCAAAAACTTGCTCCTATATCTTAGAAAATCAAATCAAAAAAGGTGAAAAAAAAAAAAGTACTTTGCTTTCATCATGGACTGAACCCTAAAGGGTTAAAAAGAGGAGTGTATGGATTCTGACTTAAAGAAACTGTATTGATCCACGACGGGAATGGCCTGCTCCTTGCAATTTACGACATGTGACATCACAAGCTGCTGGTCTAAACAGCGGCGTGCAAGTGAGTGAATGAAAGACATACATTATGTTTTCGCCATTTCATGTCTAATTTATCTGAAACATACAGTGTTTACGAAACAAATAATTGAGGATGAATAATCATTACATCTGAGAATTATTTCGCAACCCTCAGGCTAAGATTAAGGGATCCTTTATTCGTTCAACTGTGGGGAAATCTCAGTGTTGCATCACCAGGTACAGAACAGTCCAATGAAGAAATATAATCTTGTATATATAAAAAATATACAAGATATATAAAAAAAGCCAGAGCGTGTTCTGTGTGAAAACTAAACTGTTTTATAGGCTGTCGCTCACATGTGGGTCAGAGGTTCTAAAACTGCACACGATACTTGGGGACGATACTTTGCATAATGACAGAGTAACAAGCCGTGGAGCCGTGGAGTTCAGGCTTTAGCTGCTTTAAGTGTTTGTGTTTTAACCAGGCAGGTTTTACACTGTTCTTATGCATGCACTTTAGCTTCATCTTTCCCTTGGCTCTTCCCCAATCACCCTCACCGTTGTTTTAATCAATGACATGAGGGACTGTTAATGGCAGGAGGCCCGACAGACCAACGAAAACAGAACAGAGGACAGACGAGGAGCAGGAGAAGACGTGACTGAGATACCAGCCTCCTCCCGGTCAGAGAGGAGGAGGTGCACGGCCTGTCGAAAGGAGACGACAACCTGCACTTGTGCTGATTAGGGTTCATTCCTTCCATTCATTCTGACTGCCTTAAAGGTCATATACATCGCTTTTCTTCATTTTGCAGTGTGCATCCTATGCCCATGTATGATAATAATTTGGGTTATATACCATACAACACTCTAAACTTAGAAATTATAGACATTTCTTACATTGATCTGATGTCACCTTTATTGAAACACTGTAGCTTTCACTTACATTCCCTACATTCCCAAACTACATAATTGATTTTGTAATAGTCCCATGGCCATATACCTTGGGGTCCCGTGCCACACTATTAATTTTGCACACTATGTTAATATGTTACTTTGCACACTGTAAACTTGCTGTCACCTTGCTTTTGCTCAGGGACTACGGATGAAAATGAACTTGTTGCTATGTCCGGTCGGAACAATATATTTATTTTGCAATGTCCTGTCGATACATGAATAACATAAATAACATAAGATACTCCTCTATTGTCTACCATAGGAGACATTTGTCTGGTTGTCTGGGAGAGGGTTTCACATGCCACATATATTAGACACCACATTAGACAATAAACATTAAACAGACCAAACTAGACTCAGGTAAGAGCAAGTGCTGTGTTCGTTGGGATTTTGTGTTGGGGCAGCAGACTGACCTCCAGAGACAGTAACCGGCTCGACAGGCTGATCAGGAAATGTGTCTTTGTGATGGGGAGAAGTGTGGACTCTGTGGGAGCTGTGCTGGAGAGAAGGATGAGGGCTCTAGTGCATCCTGGGTAACTCCAGAAACCCTCTGCATGACACTCAGAGGAGTAACAGGCTCTTATCACTGCGCTGCTGAATGGAACGTTTCAAGAGGATTATCAAGGCAGTACAACAAACCTGGATAAGTAAAAAATATGCACTATTGCTAGGCAGTTAGTTAAAGATTTTATAATTGATGTTCTTATGTGTTCACATGGATGTGTTTTCTGCTGATGGACACCAGAATTTCTCCTACGGAAATTCAATAAAGTATCTATCTATCTGTCCTGGAGGCAGTTGTTCTGAGTGTGTAAACTAGTCTTTTGGAGCACACATACGGTACCTGGGAGAAGGCAGTCCTCTGGGGGCCATTGCGGACGTCACAGTGGTGTTGACGTGGATCTGCAGCTCCTCACACGGGGGCCCCTCATCAGCAGGTCAGAGGTGTCACGTCAGTCCGCTCTATAACAGTGTACATGGAAACATTCCCTCTGCTTCATGATGACTATATGTATGTGTTTCCTTCAGGCTCTGTGTGGGTCATCGCTCGGGCGAACACAGAGCCGGCTCAGACGCCTGTGGAACATATATAAAAGTGTTCAAGGCTTTGTGCTTCACTAATGTTACCAGTGAAATTCTCTGCGCTTCATCTTTTTTCAACAAGAAGGTCCATGCATTCAGAATCAGATTCAGTTTATTTGCAATTTGCAGTAATTCCACATTAAAATACATGTGCAAAAGTCCCAAGTGTGCACCACACAAGTACACCAATAAAACAAGCTAAAAAATACAATCATCATTGTAAAATTAATCAAGAAAATTATGACTTCAATAATTCAATGTATTATTGTACAGCCCTAAATCACAACAGTAGTTATCTAGGAGGACTTTACAAAACCATTGAATTCGCCAACACAGATTAGAGAATCAAACAGTTCAAATACAAGAAATGCAATACTAAAAACACATGGAGCCATTGGTCCATAAGGGGCGTATGAACAATGTCCATAAACTTTAATTGATTTCAGTATATGTTGTTGAATGTTGATTTTCCTGGATCATCAGCTCTGTCCTTTACGTTAAAAGGACAGCGGTGCACACTGGAGGTCCACATTGAGGGAGAGATCCGCTCCCACAGACAATTATTATTATTACTATTATTTTTATTCGGGTCTCCACAGTCAGACCATACGCCAAAGAGCACAGGGCATGGATTTGTACGGTCAGATATCTTGAGTCGCCGGGGCTTGGGTCAGGGGCGCTCCTTCCAATATGGCTGACGTGAGTTATCTCCTTCCTGTGTTTTACAGGTTCTTACACAAGTCACCGGGTTGTTGCTAAAATCTAGTCTTGTATCTTTCCTCCGGCCCACCAGAGAGATGACCTTTGGAGGCAGTGACGGCTCCACCTCCGGAAGACAATCAGAGCTCACGAGGGGCGGAGGTCGACAGTGCTCCGGGGCGATGACTGGGACGATTAGCAGATGTACAGATAATGTATCACAACAGATTAGCATTTAAAGGACTGCGTGATGATGGCGCCTCGGGGCTAAAGCAGGACCTGCTCAGCACATCCACAGCAGGCCCAGGAAGCCATTACTCAAATAGTGTCCTCGTCATTAGCCGTATTCCGGAGAGGATGGGAGGAGTTCTGCTCGGGCTCCGCCATAGTTCATGTGTGACAGGCACGCTGCATACAAAATGGATTTGCATGTTTCATTAAGTGTAATATTGAAGGATATGGAATATGCAAATGTGTCAATTTTTTAGCTTTGTTGCAACATTGTTCCCTCTTCAAGACATAGATAGATAGATATGTTTATAGAGAGATAAAGTTACTAGCAATAGTAATAAAGTGCAACAGTACTTTATGACACAGCAGCAGATGTGGTGCAGCTGCTCAAAGACTGAACTGAAATACTGTACCTCTTTGTAAAGGCTGATGCTTTGTGATGTCTTGTGCAACAAAAAATCTGGTGACCTTTGCAATGGACGCAAAAGTTGATTCTAGGTTTTTGATAAAAAACCAGGTGACTTCCTGTTTTATAACCTATTGCTGACAAGTGGTTCAGGTGAGGGAGGTTATAGACTGCAAAAAATTATGAGAAATTGGTCAAAAATTTGGCTAAATGTATCTTAATTAGAGATTGGCCAATGGGATAAGCAAAATTACCTTGTTTTAAAAAGATACAAGAAATTTGGGCACACTGACAGAAGCGAGGAAACCACCAACCACCACCAACCATTCACACACACCAGACTCATTCTAATGTGGGTGAAGTGTCTTGCCTAAGGATACAACAGCAGTTTGGCACTTTACTGCCACAGCCGCCCCACTGTGGCACCTGGTGTTCCCAGAGGTCTCCCATCACAGTACTAACCAAGCCCTGCCCTGCTTGGCCTCAGAGGTGTGATATGGTTTTCAGATGCAGGTATGGCCACAAGTATAGTGGTTCGATACTCAGTTATAGTGAGGGTGGTGCCGTGGTTAGATCTTGTGTTTCACAGCCAGAAGGTTCTGGGTTTGATCCCAACTCCTGGCCTTTCTGTGTGGAGTTTGCATGTTCTCCCCGTGTCTGTGTTTCCGCTACCACTAAAAACATGTTACGGCCGTTCACTCTGCACCACTCCGCACACACAGAACTCATTGCAACACATCACTACCATGTATAACTCCGCCCTCTAGCTAAGTCTGCGTTCATATCAGTGCGCGGCACTATATACTACGCTAAAACATTGTTATGGGATGTTACAAAAAAAAAAGAAAGTCGGGCTTGATGCGGGTTTTGGGCCTGAAAATTCAGAAACCATATCGGGCCGGGCCGGGCTGGGGCTCCACCCCTTCGGGCCAGGGCCGGGCTCGGGCCCAGATAATAGGCCCGTACAGGGCTCTACTCTACACTTCGGACACAACACGGACGGTTGTGTCCTTTCCGATGACTCTCCCATCATTGAACTCAGCTCTGGGGGCGATGATGCAGAGTATATATGAGTAATACAGGACTTTGTGAACTGGTGTCAGCGGAACCACCTCCTCATCAAAACGGGGAAGACCAAGGAGATGGTAGTGGATTTCCGCAGACGTCACTCTACCGCTCCAGCCCCAGTGAACATCCAGGGAAGGGACATCGAGAGAGTGGACTCTTACAAGTACCTGGGTGTTCATCTGAACCACAAACTGGACTGGACTCATAACACAGACGCCCTCTTCAAGAAGGGCCAGAGCCGCCTCTACCTGCTGAGGAGGCTCAGGTCTGTTGGAGTGCAGGGGCCACTCCTGAAGACCTTCTATGACTCTTTGGTGGCATCAGCCATCTTGTACGGTACGTGCAGCAGGTGGGGAACAGGAGGGTCCTGGACAAACTAACATCTATGCTGGACCATGACTGTCATCCCTTGCAGGACACTCTCTCTGCTCTGGAGAGCAGCTTCAGTGACAGACTTATGCATCCTCGATGTGTGAAGGAGAGGTTCCGCAAGTCTTTCTTTCCTCCTGCCGTCAGACTGTACAACAAACATTAAAGACTAATGAACACCGCCAACTTGATCCCACGTGTCATGCCTCGTTGCAATATCCTTAACTAGTATCAGAATGTTCAATATACTACTGCTAATGTACAGATGTAAACATACTGCTGCTAATGTACAGATGTAAACATACTGCTGCTAATGTACAGATGTCAACATATTGCTGCTAATGTACAGATGTAAACATACTACTGCTAATGTACAGATGTAAACATACTGCTGCTAATGTACAGATGTAAACATACTGCTACTAATGTACAGATGTAAACATACTGCTACTAATGTACAGATGTAAACATACTGCTGCTAATGTACAGATGTAAACATACTGCTGCTAATGTACAGATGTAAACATACTACTGCTAATGTACAGATGTAAACATACTGCTACTAATGTACAGATGTAAACATACTGCTGCTAATGTACAGATGTAAATACACAGTACTTTATACTTGCCTCTTATTTTGCTTAAATGTAAAATGTTTTTAGTTCTTTTTATTATTATTATTTTCAAGATAGAGATTTAACACTTGTAATTGATGCTAGTTAGAGATTTTGTTTTGTTTTAATTGTCCTCTTAGTTAGAATGGGCGACCCACACATAGCTATCTGCGGCTTAGTATCACTCTTTCTTGCAGCGTACGCCATGTATAGTTTGAGTCCAATGTTTTCAACAATGAGGAGGATTAATCGGCTGTTATAGTGACGACAGTAGAGTTACTCTGGGAACAACAGAACCACTCTCAAGTCAAGTCTGAGTCAAGTTCCATTTCACTCGGAATTAGTGAATATTTACATTGTTCTTAATTTACTTCCTGTCCCTTGGAGGAATTCACGCCGCTGCGTGACGTCAGCTGCAACCCAGCTGAAACCCACCAATACACACGGCCAAATCCCGCCTCCCCCTCTCGACACAACAACTAGATGATTACACATCGATTGTGGTTATCGGCCCAATTTTACTCATAGGTCCGATACAGATTAAAAAAATAATGAACATTGGCCGATATCAATATTTATACTGACATATTGACCTTCAGTCTCAGGCCTGTCTATTTGGGCCTTCCAAAGTTTCAGCACAGTTTAAGGACAGTGATCCGCAACATCCAAGGACTTTATGAACATTTGTCTTAAGGACCATCTCCTATGTGTTTGTTTTATCATTGCATTTACTGAGTTCTAATGGTTTGATTCTCTGTTGTTGGTGAATCAACACTTTCTTAACGTCCTCAAACACCTTTGCTGTTGTGAATTAGGGCTATACCAACATGAAATGAATGTATTTGAGCTTGTAAATGGCACAGTTACAGCAGAATGGTTCGAAATAAGAATTTCTGTTATCAAGTCACTTTAGATGATATTATTGCTCAAGTTTTGCACATTTCTTTGTAGAATCAAAGTTGTAGAAAGTTTTAATCTGTATTTCACTCTTGTTTATTACATGACTATTCTCAGACAAAAGCTGTTTCCAACATTCCGCTGGTTTGAACATAGAGTGTGTGTGAAGACGAGGGTGCACATCAGAGCTGACAGAGGTGTGGAAGTGTGCGAAGGACACAGGGAGGTGTGAGGGTGATGAAGAGCAGAGGACGAAGAAGAGGGGAGACCATCTGCTGCTGCTGTACTGGCTTCAGACTGCAGGAACCATCAACTCACTCTGCACTGCTCTGAGTCTTCTCCTCAATTCATTTCAATTTGCTGACATTTTGTACAGCCTTAAATCACAACAGCAGTCACCTCAGAGGCATTTTCAAAGCTTTAGATTTGCCATCACAGATCAGAGAATCAAGCAGTTTAAACGAAGGAAAACCAAGTACTTTGCTCGCAAAACGCCAGACATCTGTTGGTCTCAAAAAGGTCTCAAAAAGCAGTGTCCGCGGCAGAGCATTTAGCTACCAAGCTCCTTTACTTCGGAGTCAGCTTCCCATCCACGTTAAGGAAGCAGACACAGTTTCTACATTCAAGGCCAGGCTTAAAACAGTCCTCTTCAGTTTAGCATTTGGCCAGGAAGGTAAGACTCAGAAAAGACTATAAATCTTAGACTGCCAGTCAAGCTGCGTATGGAGTCAGTTTGCTGGAAGTTATCATACTTTGATGCTCAAGTATGATAACTTGAGCACTGTCCTCTCCTTCCTACTTTATCTGTTTAGCATTATAAGGATTTTGACTGTTGTACGGCCCCCTCCATCTACACTTGCCCTGCCCGACCAGCCTTTTGCTGCACCCCGTCTTCAGTCCGGTGCAAGAGCCTTCAGTTCTGCACCAGACCTGTCCATGTTCTGCTGCCGCCGTGTGGCCTTGGTCTTCGTTCTGTAGCTTAGGTACTGGATCTATAGCCGGTCCGTCCATGTGGAGCGGATCCCTTTCTCAATGTGGACCTTCCAGAGGTTTCTCACTTATCTCCCACTGGGTTTTAAAGTTTTTCCTTGCCAATGCAGGAGGGTCTGTTGGACAGTTAGAGTCTAACAAGAAGCACTGTGGTGATGATCCAGGACACTTTAACATTCTACAACATGTATGGACATTTATCAACATTCATGGACATTGGTCTCTCCCTATGCACCAATACATATGTGTTCTATATTGTTTTGTGTCTTAACTGTTCGTTTCTCTGATCTGTGTTGGCGATTTCAATGGTTTATTTAAGTCCTCTGAGATGACTGCTGGATTTAGGGCTATACAAGAATAAACTGAATTGAAATGAAGAGAGGAAATGCAATGATAAAAAACACAGAGCCGTTGGTCCATAATGGGCACATGACCAATGTCCATAAATGTTAATAGTTGAATCTTGAGTGTCCTGGATCATCACCATTGTCCTTTGACCCTTCTGCATCGGCAAGGAACAGGAAGCTTTAAAAACCAGTGGGAGGAAAGTGAGAAACCAACAGTACTAACATGTTACAGTGCTAACATGAACACAGTCATGGACACATGGATGATTCTGGAGGGTTTAAGTCTGTTTTTCTCTTCTACACCTGATGTGTTTTGAATTCACTGGAAACGACAGCAAGTCCAAAGTTGTTGATGAATGGTCCCAACCAAGCAGATCAAGCAGAAATCCACTATTTAAAAAAAAAAGAATGCTAATAAAGCATTCAGAATTTTACTCTGGACCAGAGCAGAGAAAGTGGTCTGAACCAAGAATGACTCTGCATACTCTGCAGCAACGCCACCTCTGCTGCTCTGACCTAATGTGCTGTTGCACTTTGTTACTATTGTTAGTAACTTTTACAATTGTGTATTTAATTGTATGTGGATGGATGTGTTTCTGCTGCTAGTCAACTGATTTTCTCCTACGGGGATCAATAAAGGAACTATCTATCATTGCACCTCTGACCTAACCTGACTTTAACCAGATCCTTGTAGTTCCCTGAGCTCCACCCAAGGATCTGGGACTTCTCAATAGGAAGTGTATTTTAGAAGGCGAGGCCTCCTCGCTGCGTGCCGCCATTATTAATTTTTTGCTATCTTGAAGGAGTTTACATTGCCCTTGATCCCAGATCCTTGTGTGGAGCTTTAAAGTTCCTACTTTTAAGTAGTACTTTGATCCACTACATTTACAGTTTTAACTGTAGCGCGGTTATTTAGGATTTTAATACCCTGTGTGATTCTTTCTGTCTTGTGTATAGAGAATGGACTTACATCATGGATATACAGTATTATAATGTCTGGATAGGGTATTGCTAGCTTGGGATCCATGTGAAGGACCCATGTGCTTAAGGGATTCTCGTGGTACTGCAGACTAAACAAGACTAAATTCAGGTGGGCTACCCAGAAATTTTCAATGCATGTAATTTTTAAAGTAAACTTAAACAGCTCGACCTCAGCTGACAGAGCACCTACAACTGCTTTCAGAAAAGTCGGATTTTGTGGGGATTTTAGTGTCCTTTGTCGTCCTGAACTTGTTTTCTTCTTAAATCTTTCAGCTTTCTTTAAATCCACATTGTAGTGCCACAAACTCTGCTTGATTGTTTCCCGCTCTATCTCCGCTCCAGCTCTGCTCTGTTTGGCAGCTCTGATTGGTCAGAACACAGCCGAGCCTCTCTGTGAGCACAATCCAAGGATTTACATAGGACCCAGCATCCATCCTGGATGTTCCCAGCATCCATCCTGGATGGATGGATGGATGCTGGGAACAGGATGCTCTCTCAGTAGTGTGGGCCTTATGCCTGTAACTGGTTAAATGACACATAACATGCTAAATCAACTTCTCACATTTTTTGTCCATGTTCTAGTTCTTTGTATATTGTCACTCACACAGGTTTCAACAGAGCTCAGAGGCTAAGCAGGACAGGGCCTGTTTAATAAGGTGATGGGAGACTTACACCAGGTGCCACACTGGGGCAGCTGCATCTTTAAAGTACAGAACTGTTTTTATGTCCTTAGAGGCAAGACACATCCGGTGTGTGTATGCTTGTAGGCATGTGTGTGTGTGTGTGTGTGTGTGTGTGTGTGTGTGTGTGTGTGCGTGAGTGGCTATGTGTGTGTGGCTATGAAAAAGAAAGGCTCGGAAGTTATTTTATGTAATTTTAGAGAAAATTTTATCAAGAAATCAACCATATATGTTTAATTTTTGTTATAAAGATTGAACCAAACTGCAAAATACAGTAGCTTGTGAAAGTATTTCATTTCACTTCATTTTCTACCCCTTTATTTGTCCATTTCTGGGTCGGGGGGTGGCAATGAGAGCTGCCACCCAATGCTCATAGCACCAGTCCCTCGCTGATCCTCTGCAGGTGGTGAGTCCACAGGAAGATGGCTGCTCCATTAGTGGTGCCACAGCTTTGGTGTTTCAGCAGGAGCTTCAGGCAATGTGGGGTTAGGTGTCTTGCCCAAGGACACAACAACAGCAGACATTAGTGGGAGCAGTTGGAGTAGGTCTTGAGGTGGGCTCTAACCCACGACCTTCCAGCCCAAAGGCCAATGCTCTACCAACTGAGCTACTGTCGCCCCCGAAAGTGAAAGTATAATTACAAGCAAAAATAATTGATGCTTTATTTTCTGTTGCTTCCTCCTTTGCTGGATTGCAGGACAACAGTCTGAGCTGAGACTCCCCCAGAGCCGTGCACTCCGTGGAGGAAACTCAGTTCGACCTGAACAATCTAATTTTTTGGGTCCTGACGATAGGTGAGGGAGGGAACATAATAGAGTGGTAACTCCAGTGCTTTGACTGCAGACACTGCTCCCTCTTCACCACACTGTCCGTCTGTCAATCTCACTCTCCATCCTTTCCTCACTTGTGAAAAAACCCTGAGATACTTCAACTCCTCGACTTGGGGAAGGACTGCTGCACTACTGTGTCGTGGGTTTGATCCCCCCATAAGACCTACTCCAACTGCTCCCACTCATGTCTGCTGTCGTTGTGTCCTTCGGCAAGACACTAAACACCACGTTGCCAGAATCCCCCGCTGAAAAATAGAGGCTGTGTCAAGGAGTAGAAGCCATCTTCCTGTGGACCTACCACCTGCTCATCAGCGAGGGACTGGTGCTATGAGCATTGGGTGGCAGCTCTCATAGCCACCCCCTGACCCAGAAATTGATTAATAAAGGGGTTTGAAAATAAAAATGAAAAATGCTCTCTCTGTTGGACTGCACCACTGTCTCCAACTCCACTCAAACCTCTCCAACAACTGTACATTCATACGCTACAATTTTAGACAAAATGTGTGTCAGATATTACCACTGAATAATTTTATCCTTGAAACTTATGAAACTTATTATTATTGCAATTTTAGTCACATAAAACTCCACAACAATGCAGCTGCCCAAGATTCTCTCTGACTCTCTGGTGTCAAGATCCACAAAGAGAAAAATGTCATCAACATTTTAATCATTCACACTCACAATGTATGTATAGCATCAATTACATGATAGTGATGCTGTGGAGGTAAAAATAATCAATTATCGTTAATTATTCCTGTGAGTCTGAAACACAAATACAGATGACTTTTTCCATTCAACTTTAAACGGGGAAGCGAGTAGAAACCTCTTATTTTACAAATGATTCTGCAGATTCTCTCAGTCCATGCGAGAGTCTTGTGATGACATAATCTTTTACACCTTTAGTGAAAATCTGAGATTCTTTGTTCTGCCATCTTTGTTTTTAATTTGTACATGTTTTAATTATTTTACTTTTTAAAAAACATATAAAGCTGTAAAACCTGTATATTCAAATGTGTTTTACTTTTATCTCTGTGCAGCACTTCAGAAACTTGTTTTATAAAATGTGCTATATAAATAAAGTGGATTGGATTGGATTGAACTAAACCTCACATGAGCAGAGCTGACTTTTTCACCAGCAGCAGTGATTCTGTGAAGTCTCAGAACAAATGTTTCCACTGATACAAAGTTTGAATGAGTAATGATTGTCTTTCAGCCTTTCTCTCATGTGAAGGCCTGTACTGCCCCCTGATGGACAAACATACACATTTTAATATTTTTTAACCTAACCCATTCCCACTTAGACCAACATGTCACATTCTAAACACGAAGTACATATTTTAACTTTTAAGGGACAACATGGACAAAAAATAACGCATCATATCTTGTCTTTAAATACATATATTTACTAGAGTAGAAAGAACAACGTTTCTGTTTCTTAATAATT